CCATACAATTTACTGCTCTCCATGAAAAAAGGGTGACTCATCCACAAAGCCCTCTTCTTATTGCTTTTATATCAATAGGTGTCCGTGGAGATCCTGGCACACTTAAGATCATCTCCCTTCCAGGAAGCCCAGGGCCACCGGGCCCACCTGGACCACCAGGGATGCAAGGAGAACCTGGGCCAGTGGGATCACCAGGAAACCCAGGTGTGGACCTGGCAGCAGTGACTAGGATCTCTAGGAAATGATTGAACCATGATACCTGTAAAGCACTTTGGAGGCAAATGATACAACTTCACAGAAAACTTTAAACATTGTAGTGGGCTTTTTTGTAATCAGTTTTAGGACTGAGTTCAATTACCCTTGACCAGCAAATAAAAATCCTTAGAATCTATTGGAAACTGATGTATATAGTATAAACTTGGGCCCTCTTTGTTAAGATAAAGAAGGCATTACGTCTATCTCCTCTGACAGCTGTCAACCTTGGAGCTCTATTTTGAAATGACTGCCTAAATATACCCAAGTTCTATGGATTTAAACTTTTCTAACACTTTGTACAGCAAAGTGTTAGGAAAAATGACTTTAAAATCTTTAAAAAATATTTGTGTTTGGAAATTGAACTAATCCCTTTACATATACTTTGCATATTATAATAGACTTCCAAAAGGAACTATCATGCTGTAAATGTTTGTGAATCACATGGGAGATGAGAGATATTTCCTATTAGTTTGATCAATACATGGGCATAGTCAATTCTGGAATAGAATAAATCAAAATGGCAGCACAATTTTAAACTTCTATATTGATATACTAATAATTCATTTTAGGGTCTTTTGTGAGGGAGGCAGAGGTAACAAGTTGGATGAGCAACCATTCCACTTTGCCCAGGATGGAGGGTCATCCTGGAATGCTGGACATTCACTGCTGAAACTGAGGAAATCCCAGGTTAATGGGGATGGTTGACCACCTGACCTTTTATCCTGACATTATGAAATGAAGGTACTGTTGTTTTTTGCCTAGGACCCTGTGGACCAAGAGGCAAACCTGGAAAGGATGGAAAACCAGGAATTCCTGGACCAGCTGGAGAAAAAGGCCACAAAGGCCACAAAGGAGAGCAAGGTAAACAAATATCCAGTTGATTCCTTTGTTGATAGCGTGCTGTTTCAGTATAAAAGGGGGTCTTGTCTGAATATGTGAGTATAAGGGTAATCTAGGTCTTTCAGTTTGTTTTGTTCAGATTAGACCAAAGATCAACAGCTTGTGTGGAAGAAGATGGGAAATTAAGAATTACTGGAATACACTAGTTTTCTTACCTTGGGCATATATACTTTAAACTTTCAGCCTGATGTACAACTTAGACTCAGGGCAGATAGAATTAATGAAGCTCTAGTGGATGTTCCATTTTTAGAAAGGCCAATATTTTTAAATTACTTATAAGAGTTGGTAGTTAATAACTACTTATAGCAGTGTTATATGAATATAAAGTTAGGAAAATATTATCTTGAGATGAACAGTAGAGCAATTTAGTTTTCTTATTTAGGAATGTCATCTTTTAACTACACCATTGTGAATATCACTTGCATCAGTCAACCTTAGGCATTGTGACCAACTTGGAGGAGGAAGTTTATTTTGTGCTCACAGTTTCAGAGATTCAGACCATAGTCAGTCAACTCCATTGCTTTGGGCCCAAGATGAGGCAGAACATCATGGTGGAAGAGTGGCAACCGAGGAAGCTGCTCAGCTCATGCCAGCTGGGAAGAAGATAGAGTTCAGGAAGAGAGCCACAGTGAAAATGCATCCTTCCAGGACAAATCCCCAGTGACCCACCTCCTCCTTCCATACCCCACCTGCCCACAGTTATCGCCCAGTCAAGTCCATTCAAGCTAGGATGGACTACTTAGGTTATAGAGCTTACAGTCCAATCATGTCACCTTTGAATATCTCTTCATTAACCAAAACCATTTCATCACTCAACAATTCTTTTGTGTGTCCTGAAAAGGGGCCTCTTAAATATGTCTGAATAGAAGCTATATATGTCAGTTGATAACCTGGATCTAAATCTACCTTCTGTAAAAGTTTCAAAGTATCCCTTTGGAAAATACCAACATGTCCCAATCTTATATTTTTAGGATTGCTGACTTTGTTAAAGTAAGAAAAACTTCTACATGTGATTTCCCAGTTTATTTATATGTACATATGCCCAGATATAATAAAGACTAGAAACTTAAATCCTAAAAATTCAAATATTATGCTATTAATATTAACTTCATAGTTACCTTTGATTTAGTATTCTCACAAGTGCTCAGTATTGTTAATTTTTACATTTTCCTCACAGTGTGTTTTCAAAGAGGTAAAAAACAAAGCCCTAATTAATAATTCTATTAATTTATAAACTATAATGATAAGGCAGGGTTTCTGAATGGGGCACCAGCAAGAACAACGGTACTACAATACAAATTATGGTGAGAATTATTATAAGAAGACACAGTCCAATGCTATGGACGCCTCATAACACTGATAAACTGATAGACTTGGCCCCTTACTTGGAGGTGCAGAATAGCCTTAGATACCATGCACTGGCAGAGAAGCTAATCTCCTGCCCTGCTTCAGCTAATCACATTACAACTCCCATGCAGATATTGGAAGGTGTTTTTGCTTGGGACTAATTATATCCCCTTGTGAATGAGAGTAGGGGTTAGGGATAGTAAAGAATGTGTGCCTCTCCTATATTAAAACTGTGGCAATTCTGGATTTTTAAAGTAACACATGAGAATTTTTTGCCTTACTAATGGATCAGAAAGTTGATTGAAGTTTTGCACCTTTAAAAATAAATTTCAGTATTTTCTATAACTGTTTATTGAATTTATCCACAGCATTAAGTAATTTCTTAGTATCTACTTGAACACACTTTCTAATTATAGATATTTTCTTTCTTTTCCCTCACATTGTAGGAGGACCCATACATATTTGTTCATAAAAGATGTGCATACACCTTCCACATACAGGCCATTGTGTGCTAGGCATCACAAGGGAATTCAGAGATAAAGAAGACCTGATCTCAAAAAACTCATGATAACACACACAAATATCAATAATAAGAGGACTTTGTGACTAACTGGTTAACATTTAATGATATTGCTTGGTCATTTTATAACTAGGATTCCTTTCTATATTTGAAGCTTAACAGAGACACAAAAGCATTTAAATTAGTACTTCAGAAAACAAGTCTGAGATTCTCTTTGTGTTGCAACATTTATAATGTGGTTTTTAAAGGACCGCCTGGATCAGATGGGTTACCGGGTTTGAAGGGAAAACCTGGAGACATTGGCTTGCCTGCAACGGAGACAAGAAGGAGGGGCTTTGTCTTCACCCGTCACAGTCAAGCAACAGTGATCCCTGCATGTCCAGAAGGGACAGAGCCACTCTACAGTGGGTTTTCTCTTCTCTTTGTACAAGGAAATGAGCAAGCCCATGGACAAGACCTTGGTAATGTTCTGGTCAGAGTTTCCAGTTGTTTTGCTCCATATGCAGATTGCAAACTTTTTAGTTTGGGGTGCTTCCTCTGAAGATAAGTAAAAACAACCTCAAGTGTCTTCCAGTACATTTTAAAGAGAGCAACTGGCCTGGAGTCTAAGTTGCATTCTGGTATGTAAAATGCTAGAAGGAGTCAAACTTGTCAGGTTCAATTAAAAACATTTTCACTTAAAACACCTGTCTTCTTCTTCTTATTATTATTTTTTAATTTGTTCTAATTGGTTATATCTGTCTTCTTTTTAATCCCCAAATGATATTTTCTAAGAAAATTTTATGTGACTATTAGTTGTTCTGAGTAACTAAAACTATTTGAAGCAAAGACATTGCTTTAACCAAACTACACCAGCCCACAAGTTCTAGACTGATAAGAAGGGACCATAGGAAGTATTAAGGATGGGAATAGGATTTGTTTGCCTGCTGGGTTTTTATTTCCATCATGACTAAAACTTATCAATATGACATTTTACAAATAACTAGCTTGTGTTGTCTTTGATCAGGCTGCCTCTCTGTTTTAATAGAATAATCTTAATTTAATAGAATAATCTTAACTGATACTCAGTTCCATATTGTATTAGGGACTCTTGGGAGCTGCCTGCAGCGATTTACCACCATGCCATTCTTATTCTGTAATGTCGATGAAGTATGTAATTTTGCATCTCGGAATGATTATTCATACTGGCTGTCAACACCAGCTCTGATGCCAATGGACATGGCTCCAATTACTGGAAGAGCCCTGGAGACTTTTATTAGCAGGTAAAAATCCAGTCCCTTAATTTGGCAATGGGACCAAATGAATTGCATTGCTTGGAATGGAATGAAACATTGCAGAAAGCGGCAATGCCAGCACAATGTTGATTTCGTGTTACAGATGCACTGTCTGTGAAGGTCCTGCGATGACCATAGCTGTTCACAGCCAAACCACCACCATACCCCCATGTCCCCATGGCTGGGTTTCCCTCTGGAAAGGATTTTCTTTTATCATGGTAAGGAGAAAAGGAACAGCAAAACTATAGTAAAGATTCCCTGCAGAATGTTACATTGTACTGGGTGAAATACATACAGTCTCCACAATGGACACTGCCTGAAACTGTGTGCAGGATGCCACAGATATTTGACAGTTTGCAAATATACTCTTTAAAAACAAAACAGTGTTACCTGTGCTGAGTAAAGAAGTGTTGAAAAAAATAGACTTCTCAAGACACAATATTTAGATTAATAGCAACTACCATGTATTGTTAGGGACTATCTTTTTGTCTATTTGTGTATATGTGTGACAGTTCCTATATATATCCTCTAAAATCCTAATGATAACCCTGAAAGGTAGTTTGTATCATCTACAGTTCACAAATAAGAATGAAGTAATTTCCTCAGGGTCCCATGACTATGATCACTTTGCCCATTAATAATCTGTAATTGTTCATGACATGTTCTCCCCCGTCTTTGCTCACAGTTATCTATTCATTCACTCATTAATTCAAAACAATTTTTATTGAACACTACCATGTGCCATGACTATTCTAGGTGCTAGAAATATCAGGAGCCAAAGTTTCTGCTCTCACAAAGCTTATATCCTGGTGATGAAGACAGGCAATAGGCAAACAGACAAAATCCCAATAATGGCAGCAGAAGTCCAGTTGACAACAGGTACTATGGAGGAAATCCCGCAAGGTAATGTCAGAGGTCAGATGAGGTCAAGGATAGCCTTCCTGAGGTCACCTGTATGCAGATGCTGGAAGAACAAAAAAAAAAAAAAAAAAGGCCATCAGACATAGGGAAGGAGTGTTCCAGGAAGAAGAAACAGCTTTTCCTTCTTTCTGATGACTATATCACAACCTGAAACATGGCTAGAATACTAGCAAATCTGGATAAAGAAGTACAAGAGGTTTAATCCACTTTCTATGGTTCGTTTCCCTGCAGTTTATATTAATCCCCACCCTCCAAAAAAGTAGAGAACTGAACATTTGAACATCAATGGACAGAGATTTTATTCAGATTTTATTGTGATAGTTCACAAGCGCAGGTTCTGAGGGCGCTGGGCAAGCGCTGGCATCCCCTGGCTCCTGCTTGGAGGAATTCCGAGCCAGTCCATTTATAGAATGTCATGGAAGAGGAACGTGCAACTACTATTCAAATTCCTACAGTTTCTGGTTGGCTTCGTTAAACCCAGAAAGAATGTTCAGGTAACTATTCAACATTAAGCTTCATCAACTCAATTGCAGAACTCCAAAGTTGTTCCATTAGCTTTTCTTTACCTATGTATTGATGTTCTCACATTTAATTCCCCACTCCATGCCAATATAAAACCTGTTTATCTTGGCACTCCCCTAGTTTATAAGTGTTTTGAAGTTAACAAGTCACTACAGTTTTGAACTACAGACAAATATGGGATTTTTACTATCACTCAACATAGTATTTATATATGAATATATAATAAATTAACAAATAAAGCCACTAAATGATCTGCTGTACTGTATTAGAAGACTTGTGAATAATACAGATTATTTAAGGGGTGGGAACAGTTTTTATCAGAAAAAAAAAAGATTATCTTGTAAATTTGCATCAAGGCCAATGTTTCCTGAGTGCTGCTGAAATACAACTTAAATTATAAAACGCTGATATATATGTATGTGTGTGTGTCTATGTATATCTTTCCAGAAATTTACCTCTTCTATAAAAAATGTTCTTGTAATAAATTTAGAATAGGTATATTAATAAAATTCATATCCAGCAAATATTCCCTTTTTTACTATAATTTAATGAGGTTTTTTTGTTGCCACTGCTGTGTTTTTATTTCAGAAAACCTATTCCATCAACTGTGAAAGCTGGAGAGTTAGAAAAAATAATAAGCCGCTGTCAGGTGTGCATGAAGAAAGGACACTGAAGAAGTAAAAGAAATGGAACTGCTGGGGTTTTTTTCTCCCACATAACAAAGTAATGACTTGGAACAGAAATTTATTTAGGATTTTTCTCTCACCAAACAATATCAGTTTATGAAGGCTAAGTAGTACAGTTTCTATTTGTTTCTCCACACAACAAAGTTAGTTCTGTGATCCTGGTCTCTAAAATTGTATTGTTTCAAAGTTTCCTCTGGTAAGGCAACAACCTGTCACAAATTATCAATGAAATGGCATTCCATCCCAGACCTCTATCTAAGTGGTGGGTGTATAGAGCTGGAATGCTCAAGAAAAGAGATATTTGTTCTCTCCTCTTCCAGTCTTTGAGGCTGAGGGAGGCTAATGCAGTCTTAGATTGCCCTGCCACCTCCTTCCTGAAACAAGAGGAGAAGGAGAGAGGGTCACCTGGAACAATGGAGCATCATGAACAGAACTGGTCTTTCCGACCTGTGGAGCAGCCTATGGCCTGAGGGAACACAGGCTTAAACTGATGAAGTTCATGACTTTTCCAGGACCCTTTCAAATATACCCCAAACTAAGGCCAAAGAGGGTTTCCCTGAATGGAATCATAACAGCCTTGGTCTTATTTTATATTTCTTTGAAGATCTGTTTATTCATTGAATTCATCTGTCAATATAGGCTGCCTGTATTCAAAGTAGATAAGATGTTCACACTTAGTGAATTAACTTTAATAGGACATAGCTACATTTACCCTCAAATGTGTCAACTTTTAACTTCTCTTGTTTAGTGTACCCACAAAAATAATGAGGATACTACTTATTAGATGTGCACTTTATCCCCATCCCTATAAATGCTGGCACATATATAATTGGGTTTGATAGTTCAATAATTCATGAAAGGTTATGGCATTTGTTGGTTTATCATGCTCAATATTTTTGCTCTAAATATTCCATTATTTGTTTTTTTTAGATTTATTCCTTTACTTTTCTAATCCTTTCTTTATAAACAACAAAAAAGTTTTTTTATGTTATACATTCTTACAAACCACATTGAGAGAGACCATTGTGTAAAAACCTTAATGTATAAATTGTATAATTTGGTAGCTGTATGTCTTAAGACTTGTTTTGGTGTGTTGATACATTCCCAGGCTTCCTCAGTTCAACTAAAAGGCATTGTAATCAGCACCAAGCTATGTTCCAGGCACTAAACTAAATTAGAGAAAGAGAAGAGGAAAAGAGGGAGAGAAAAAAGGGGGGAGGGACTGTTTCTGATCTATATCTCAGAAAAAGGTAAATTATTGCTTCTCTTAAGAATCTTATACGGGGACTGGGGATGTAGCTCAGAGGTCAAGTGTATGCTCAGCATTCAAACCCAGCACCAAACCAACCAACCAAACAAAAATCTCATATACATGAGTTGTTCTCCCACCTTTTATTCTTCTTTTATTGTTGCTTTTACATTTCATTATTATAACTCAGAAGGCCTGAGTAAAGTTTTGAAGATAAGATCCCTGCCCAGGGAAAGCCTAGGACCTCCAGCTTCTTTTAGACCCCATAGAAGCTAAGGTCTGAACAACACAAAAAAAGCACTGCTCTACAAAACATTTAAAAAATCATTTGTATGTGCTGATAGCATAGTTCGATAAGTCTTAGGAACCAGGCATCATGAGACAGTTTTGAAGATGTTTCTTGATTCACTAAGGTGGAATCAGTGGTGCTAAAATTTAAATTCAGGCTATTGCTCCAGACTCAACTGCCTTGTAAGGGAAAATGTGACTCTGGAGTACTGATACGGTTTACATTCTTCGTTTTTCATATGCTTGCTGTCAAGCCATTTTTACCCCCAAACTGAGACATGCAGGATGTCATTCAGAGTATGTACTTAGATTCACTTACTATTAAGACTTAACCTGCCCTAAAAATATCTTACAGTTTCAAATGTACATAGTGGTGAAGAGGGCTCACTGATCTACATAGGCCAGTAGTTCTCAACGTGTGGCCCCTGGATGGGCAATGTCAGCACTGTCTGGGAACTTGTTACAAATGCAAATCCTAGGTCCATTCTAGACTTGGGAAATCAGAAATTGTGTGGGTATAGGCCAGAAATCTGTGTCTTCACATGCCTTCCATATGATTCTGATGTACTCTAAAGACTGAGAAAAGCTGCTCTAGGCAAACACTCAAGGCACTGGCTATAGTTGCCTCTTTTAAAAGTCCAAATTCACAGATGACCCAAAGGCAATCTACTTTTGCTCCTAAAACCTCCTGACTGGTGCTAATGGCAAATGCTTGGCACTCACTCAATTGCAAGCTCTGTCTCCTCTTGCCCTCTTAACAGTATTTGACTTCTGAGGAAGACAAGTGATGCTAAAACCTTAAATTCCAAGGAAGCTGCATAAACAGCTGTTGTTCAGTCATAATTCTAAGAGTGGGCATTAAAATCCAGCTCATGAATTATTTTCCAAATATTTACATGTGGCTTAAAAAGTTATGAAGATTTAACTTTGTAGATAAAATGTAAGTAACTTATTTCTTTTAAATTGGGGGCTTCAACTTTGGAATTTCACAGTGTGCTAAAACAACCGATTTCTCAGAGTTCTTTGTTTCTACAAGATAAACATTATTAATTTATTTATAAAAGTATTAAAATGTCTAAATTCGAGTTTTATTGCTAACTTACAAAGATGTTTCTATGTATCAAATGTAACTGCTACTAAACTTAATTTAATATTTACTCTATAACCAAATGGAATATATTTAAAATATATTGAATATTTTATATTGTTATATCCTGACAAAATTACAGTATATTGTAATGTACTAATATTTCTGTAATTATAGCTAAAATATTATTTTATTGTATTGTTAGAATAAAACTGAAAAAATTGTATTTGGCATTTGTTTTTTCAAAATAAAAATAATTTTAGATTGTAAAATTAGATGTGCTCTGTGAAAACAATAGGCAATACAGAAATTATGATGAAGAATATAAAGACCATTATGATCTAATCCTCACCCCAACCCAAGATAACTGTCAAATTAAGGTACATCACCCCTGCTGAATTTTTTCCTATCTATATAATTTTTAAACAAAAATTAGTTAGAAGCATGCTTTATTAGTAGGTTTTTTTTTTTTTTTTTTCCAATTTTGAAGGTTGAACTCAAGGCCTTAGACAAATGCTCTACCACTGAACCACATCCCCAACCCTCATTTTTTTTTTTTAACTTAATACATTGTGGACAGATCTTTATATCAGTAGATAAGTACTAATCATTTATATCATGGTACATCATATGGATATACAACATAAGTCAATAATCCTCAACTTATGGAGACTTAGTTTCATTATAGACATATCATGTCATTCTACATTTGTCCAATCATTCCCTCAGTATAAATCGCAAAAAAAAGAAAATTAAATGTCAGCCCTTTTTATATTAGTGGCTTATTTATTTATTTTTAATTTTTATATGTTCTTTTTAGATATATGTGACAAGAGTGCATTTTGACATATTATACATACATGGAATATAATTTCGCATTCTTGAGGTTGTACATGATGTGGAATTACACTGGTCATGTATTCATATACGAACACAGGAAAGTTATGTCCAATTCATTCTACTCCACAATGTTAGGTCTTTTATAGATGTAAAAAAAAGGCTCTGTAAAAAGGTTAGCCCTTTTATTTTTAATTTATTTATTTTTTGTACTGGGGATTGAACCCAGGGGTGCTTTAATACTGAACTATATCCCCAGCCCTTCTGCCCTTTTTATTTATTTTTATTTTATTATTATTATTATTTTTTTTTAGAGAGAGAGAGAGAATTTTAATATTTATTTTTTAGTTTTCGGCGGACACATCATCTTTGTTTGTATGTGGTGCTGAGGATCGAACACAGGCTGCACGCATGCCAGGTGAGTGCACTACCACTTGAGCCACATCCCCAACTCCCCTGCCCTTTTTATTTTGAGACAAGGTGTCACTAAGTTGCTTAGGGCCTTCCTAACTTGCTGAAGTTGTCCTCAAAGTGTTCTTTTACATCTTTGCATATTGTTTAATTTACATTTTCCATGTTATCACTAAGGCTAAACATGTCATTTTAATTGAGTGAGTGCTTATTAAAAATTTTCTGTGAAAGCCTTAATCATATCTTTGCTCATTTTTCTATTGAAGCTTTTAAGGGATTTTATAAGCCAATAATTTTGAAAAGCATATAGATTATAGAAATTATGGGTCATATATTTTGATAAATGGTAATGGATACTCCTCATCCAGGAAAACAATTCATAAAATTTCATATGTAGAGATTTGGGAAAAAAATTGAAATCTCAGAAAAAGGAACTTTCAGGCTGTATTAAATGACAATAAAGATACAACCAAGGAATGAAATGGAATGAAAGGATCCTGGGTAATAATTTTTACAAGACAAAAAAAATAGTTGAACAAATAAATATCTTAGAAATACTCTCAGTTGTAAGCTAAAAATATGATTTGAAAATTCTTTGGTTAAAAAATGTACAAAAACATTTTAATAAACTCACTTTTTACGGCTGGTAAGTAGAATCAACCTGGTGATCAAGCACATTATCTTTCTCTCTAGTATAAGCCTGTTTGGAAAGGAAAATCAGATCAATCTCTAATGGCAAACTATTATAATAGCAAACTATTAGCGGGGCACTTTCAAAACATTAAAAGTAAGTGCCTCCTCTGGTTCGTGCTATAGGTACTGGAAATTAACAGATAAGCAAACACAGAGGAAGAAGTAATTAATCTTTCATAACCAGGCTAAATATAAACATTCAGATAAATATGTTCCTTCCTCCCCTTTTATTGACTCTGATTTTTATAAACATGTTGCCATTGCTCCAACTCTTTTTAGAACTACTGCTTTGGAATTATCTTCAATTCCAATTTATGAGCTGAACAAGGAAATATGTCTCATTACTTTATATCTGAGATCTACAACATGCTCAATATGTTTCTATTTTATGGTAAGAGAAAACAAAGACATATCCATGGACAATTATAATACTGGGCAGAATATGTAAGTGCTAGAAGAGACGACAAATAGTGATTCAGGAGGTGGAAACTGCAGCAAATAATTCCTAAAAAAGGGGACACTTTAGGTAATCCTTTAAGGGATGTTAGCATTCTAAGAAGCAGAAGATAATCAGAAGTCAGTTGGCATTCCAAGTGGCAGGAAGAGAATGGATAGCAATAAATGGTTATGAAATAATGAAACAATCTCAGGGAATAATAGTGGTTAAGAACAATATAATATCTGCACACATGTAAATAGAGAGGCACAATAGAGTAAGTCTACGACGTTAGATAGGGCTTAGAATACCAGGTTGAACTTTACTTCATTGATTGGTACTGAAGATTTGGTGAAGATTTTGAGAAAATGAGTGGAATTATTATATAATCTGGAATTAATAATCTGGAAGGTCCAATATGTAGTATATGCTCCTCAATTTATGATGGGGTTATGTCCTGATAAACCTACAGGAAGTTGAAAATACCATTAAATCGAAAATGCATTTAATGCATCCAACCTAGTAAACAGGATAGCTTAGCCTAGCCTGTCTAATATGCTCAGAACACTTGCATTAGCCTATACTTGAGCAAAATCATCTAAAACAAAGCCTATTTTATAATAAGTATTGGAAATCTCATGTGGTTTATTGCCGAATCTACTGCAAGCACAAACCAGAAAGATATTTTCTAATTGCTAGCCTGGAAAAGATCAAACTCTGAAATTCAAGGAATGGTTTATTACTGAATGCATTTTGCTTTCATACCATCATAAAGCTAAAAAAAATCATAAACTGAACTATCATAAGTTGAGGACTTTATATATACGGTGCTTGTCAGGCTATCTCATACTTTCAAGTTTTTTAAAAATTACTGGATTACTGTTAATAGACTTTTGAACTTGTATACAACTATAAATCAAAAATTTCTTTCAAACTGGGACTTCAAATATGAGATGTCACAATTTATAAAACTAGGTTCCTTGTTGACTCGATGTCTAGGTAGAATTAGAAAAAGACTGAAGATGTGTAGGCTAGTAAAACGAGTAAAAACCTAGATGATGGTTAATGGCCCACCAGTAAGAACAGATAAAGCAGATAATTGGCATTGAAGAGAGAATGATCTAAAGCATGGGTTAGGTATTAGACAAGATTCTTCAGAAAAACAAGACCAATAGGGTGGAAACAGGCAGACAGATTAGATAGATAGATAGATAGATAGATAGATGAGAAGAAACTCATTGTGGGAAATGGCTTATGTGATTTGGAGGTCTAGAAGTCCCATCTGCAAGACAATCGTGGTTGAGTCCAAGTCCAAAAGTCTGAGAACCAGGGTTGCTGATGTGTGGAATGCTCAGTCCAAGGACAAAGGCCTGAGAAACTGGGGTCTACTGGTATAAGTCCCGAAGTACAAAGACCAGAGAATCCAGAATTCCAATGTTCCAGGGCTAGTGAAGATGGGTATCCCAGCTTTGTGTATGTGTGTGTGTGTGTGTTTGTGTGTGTGTGTGTGTGTGTGAGAGAGAGAGAGAGAGAAAGAGAGAGAGAGAGAGAGATGGGGATGGGGAGCAGGGGTGTTCTACTATTCCAGCCTTCATAGGGTGGGGAGTACCCATTATATTGGGTGAGGGTGATCTTGTTTATTCAGTCCTTATGCCCTCAGAGGCATACCTGGAACGTTATGCCAGTTATCTGGGTATTCTTTAATCCAATGAAGTTGACACTACAAATTAATTGTCATAACTAACTTAGGAGACAGTAAAAGATAACTTCAGTATTTTGAACTTTATTGACTAGAAAAATAAATCTTGCCATGATGAGGGGGAAAAAGGAATTGAAAAAGTATCTGGATGGAGAAGAGGGAAAAACATTTAGTTTGAAACCCTGTTGAGAACAAAGCTTCAGTAAACACTAAGGCATCAGGATGAGATGAAATGGATGTACTAATTTAGATTTATATACCTATGAGGTTGCAAAGACAGTCAATGATGGAATAAATCATAAACAGAAATATCCACATTAATGAGGGAAGAGAAGAAAGACCCAACATGAAGCTGTATCACACAAAAAGAGAGTGTATACAGTTTCTAAGCACAGGAGAGAAAATGCAACCCTCCACCCATCCTTAAGAGAATCTACTACCAGAAAGTGTTAGGTACTTTGACATTTTACAACACTCTCATTTAATTTAGCAGAATCGTATTATGTCAGAAGATAAACAATGATCAGTGTTATGGGAGAAGACACTAGGTTTTATAACTCTATCACAATCTTCATTTGAAAGTTATTCAAAAACATTTTTTCTTTGCGGGGAAGCAGGAACAAAAACCAAACTGTAAGTATTGAAGAAGTGGAAAGGTTAATGGAAGTAGTAGGACTCTCATTTAAGGTTTTGATCACAGTTTGCCCAGCTTCTCTACCTTCCCCCAAGATGCTGACTTGGACTGACTCATCATTATTATTGAATCTATTCTTTAAAAAAAAATGGTTTGCCACTACAGGGTAGCAGAATATAACATTTTGGCATAAAGATTATTTTGAGTCAAAGGCACTTGAGAAAACAGCAGATGCAAACAAGCACTCTGGCCTTCTTCTCTCTTCCTGAAACCAAGAGATAAAACTCCCACATGAAGGGTGACTTCCTTATACTGGGAAGACATCTTTATCGTCAGAGTCAGGGCGTCAAGGCTGAGAAAATGAGTACAAACCAACCTTGTTAAACTAGCTGTTATCTGCCCAGTCAGTTCTCCACAGTCAGCTGCCCTGGCCCACACTCTTTTTGTCTTCTCACATTTTCACAATTTACTATTCTTTGTTTGACCCAGTATATAAGATTTGGACCATAACTGCTTCCTTGGGTTTTCATTTTTCTAGTGACAACTCCAGTAAAAATTACTAAACAAAATCTGTATGCTTTCTTTCTCTTATCTGTTTTTTGTCAATTTGATTATTAGGCCCAGCTGAGACGCAAAGAGGAAATTTAACCTTCCTTATACCAATATTAAGATGGGGCCCAAGAACACAATTTGGAAAGCGTCCCAAATTATTTTAAAGACTGGTAACCTCTCTGATTCTAGAAAAGTACATCACTCATGTGTAAACAGTATTCCCACGGTAATTTCAGGGCAAGGATGAGGGACTTGGTTCCACAACCCCCACAGATAGATAAATCCGTAGATGGTCCAGTCCTTTATAAAATGGTATAGCTTTTGCATATAACCTACCCGCATCCTTCCATATACTTTAAATAAGTATTAGACTATGTATAATACCTAATACGATGTAAACAGTTGTCAAAGTCTACTGTTTAGGCAGACTTACAAGGCCGTGGGGAGTCTGTACATGTTTAATGCAGATATACATGTTTTCCATCTAAGGTTGGTTAAATCCAAAGATAAACAGCCATAAATGCGGAGGACCGTCCCGTTCTTCACTATCGAGGCCTACACAGTGTTTCTTGGCTTGGCGTCACTTTGTCCTTAGGTTAGTGAGCACCATTCTCGGTATGCAGCTCTGGACCCCAAAGTTCCAGAAGGAAGTGTTAGAAATTAGGTGGGAGAGAGCTCCCAGGAAGCTAAACAATGCTGCGAACCACCATGAGACCTAACTGAACTTCCCCCTTCCCAGGGTCCTTCGCTGGAGGGCTTAGAGAGTAATCAAAACCAAAGTGCTTAAGAATCATTCCCAGAGTTGTTTAAACATGCAGACTCTTGGGCTTCGCACCAAAGACATTTTGACGCAGGTGGTCTGAAAAGCTGTTATCTTAACCGGATTCCAAAGGTTTACCTTGTAAACTAAGATCACGCACGCTAATTAGCGCTAACCGTGGATCAAATTTAAGTACCTCCAACGTTACTTGAGGTCGGCGTATTTTGCCCACAACAAAGATGTCTCTCTATCGCCGTCCTGCAGGTCCCCACTCCTGTGCGTGAGCTGTACGTCCGCCCTTTCCCGCATCACATGACCAGAAACCTGCTTCCTCTACGGCTCCTGAAAGGGGCCAGTCCTGGCCGTTCTCGCGTCTCTGCTGGCCCGCTGAGGGCCGCTTGGCCGGTGCCTTGCCCCAGCGCCTCAGTGCGCTCGGCCAACGGCCTCTGAGACCGCTCACCCGAGCGCCCCGGGAGCCGGCGGGCGGCGGCCCTCTCTGGGACTCTCCAGCGGGCCCAGGGGTGAGTGCTGAAGTCTTCCCGATCTGGGACTCCCACCGGAGCCGTCCTCCGGGCCTAGCGCTGCGGCAGTGACCCTCCGGTCGACCGAGAGCCCGCGATGGCCCAACCCGCCTGAGGTGTCGCCCCGGCCGCAGTCAAGTCCCCAGGCCTTTCCTCCTCAGCATCTTGTCGCCCTCGGGTTCCGAGGAGCGGAGGAGAGCGTGGCGGCTGAGCGGCGGGTCCTGCCGCTGTCGGGCCCGCCTCCTGGCCTTCCCAGTCAGCGCCCCGGTGTGTGCAGAAGTTCGGATTTGACTGCATGGAACCTGAGCGGGCTTGGGAAGCCGGGGAGAGGCTTGCGAGCCCGGTTTGACCTTGAGCCCGCGGTGTTTAAAGTGGCTTTTTGTTGGGTTTTGTGGAAAATACTGTTCGGAAAGAAGGGCCGGTTGGAAGCCCAGGCAGTGGCGTCCGCGGGTGGCCGTGCGTCCCTGGGAAGGCCCTGCGGCTCTGTGAGCATCCTTGCTCCGGGGCGGGGATGCCGGCGTTGCGCCTCGCAGGCCCCCGGGAGCGCAGAAGCAGGGGCTGCTGGAGAAGGTCCTTCCTGCAGGAGTCCCCCTTCTGGGGCAAAAGAAAACCCCCAACTAGGCAGAGGGAAGAGCGCTCGTTCTAAAGTGGTGGTGTCCTTTTATTGCAGAAGATGAACAAAGCTTATGCCAAATATCGAACCAGTTAGTGATTGGGAATGTTTTCTCTCCCTGGGAGGAAGACATTTCTGCATCAATCCTCTTGGCTAATGAAATCCCACAAGAAAAACCCTTAGGGAAATTAGGAAATTTAAATTGCACTTAGTACTTAGTCTGTCCGTGCAATTAAATTGGGGGAACCTGCCATCTTTTTGGTTTCCGAGTCTTGTGGATTCATAGGCTGTTTTTCTTTCCAAAGGAAGTTGTGTGTTGTCTCCCTGTCTGATAGGGCTATCTCATCTTAGAATTACGCTACTTTCCCTTCTGGTGTTGAAATTTTCTGTGCCTAATAGATCTTTCTCAAAGTGTTCTGTGACTTTTCTTTAAAAAATGAAGTTAACCCTGGATCTCAACAATTTTTTTTTTTTTCTGATACACCATAATTGCTTAGAAAGAGAACCCAAACAGGGTGACCTAGATAAAAACCTTGAACCAAGTCCACACAATATCTGTTAAAGAATTGGTTTGGGGTTTTTGTTTGTTTGTTAATTGTAGAATTATATAAATTTCTACTGCCACAATTAACTCAAGTTGTTTCTGTGACTTTCTAAACTTTATGGTGTCCAGTGTTCTGATTAGAAACTGAGAAATTGGGCTTGAATCATTATGTCTCCAAATTGGTACATTTTTCTACCAGTGGTTTATAACTTGACTCTAGATGCTAATATAGATGAGGGTTTGTTTTAATAGTTATATTTTTGTTACATGTATTTATGTGTGTACATAAAGTCTGTGGTTTAAGGTAGATATCTAAACCTTTCTTTAAATATTTTTAAGTCAAGTTGAAGAAATTAAGTGCAGCCAAAAGTAAATCTACTGTGTGAATACAGGGGGCAGGGGACATGAAGTTTGAAATTATCTTTGATTCTGAGGGAGATTTTGTTTCATTAGCTATATTAGAATCATGTGCTTGTTGCCTAGTAGATGCTAAGTGACAAAACTTCTGGAATTAATATATTAACCCCAAATGAGAAGTTTATTTATTGCTAAAAGATTTTGCTCAAAGTGCCCTGTCCAATGAGGGAGAAAAATAATCAAATTCTTATCTGTTTTATTTAAGCAGAAAACACAGTGATTGAGACAGCAATATTAAATCTTAGTGCAAAAGTTTTATTTGCTTTTAAATTTAAGTAGTTCAAGTACAGAAGATTTTGGATTTCTCCAGAAGTTGTTTTTTCACTATCTACCTATGTGTTTGTTCTAAGTCCATGATTCTTTACAAACTCAGAGATTCTCATAAGAAATGATGCTACTGTGGAATGAAATGTTGAGACCCTTGAGATGTTCTAGTGCAAAGTTAATAAGAAGACTGAAATGCAGTGAAGAGAATGTGGAGACCAGCACATTTCAAAGAAATGATGTGTTTCTAACAATTGATGTCCATTGTTTATTATTATAAAAATTCAATTTATAATATCCCAAAGCTGATATTGTTTTGGGATATGTCTTTTCAGTGTTATTTCTGAATATAAGCTTTCACTATGCTTCAGATAGACTTTAAGAATTTGAAGAGTATCTCATCTAGAACAATGCACCAAACTAGTAGAGGTTGCCTTTGGAGACCTGAGTGGTTGAAGACAAGATTTATTGGAACACTTTATTTTCTCCATATGTTCTTATGTACATTGCCATGTACATTTATTACTGATTCCATTTTAAAAACATTTTAAGTGAATGGAAATTTATTTCTTATGCACATATAAATATACGTATAATATTATTAATTTAAATATATTTTCTCTGTCATATTTTTCTAACTACAAATAAGAAACAATGATAGAGATGTCTTACTTGAAGAATAATCATAGGGTACTGCCTGTGGGACTAAAATTGGTGGTAAGCTTATTTTTTTTTTCTTTATTTGTTTGAGGAGGATACTGGAGAGTGAATCCAGGGGCGCTTAACTACTGAGGCACATCCCCAGCCCTTTTTTGTATTTTACTTAGAGACAGGGTCTCACTGAGTTACTTAGTGCCTTGCTAAGTTGCTGAGACTGGCTTTGAACTCAAGATCCTCCTGCCACAGCCTCCTGAGCCTCAGGGATTACAGGAGTGCACCACCATGCCTGGCTCTTTCTTTATTCTTTTATTCATTTCTTAGTCTAAAGTTGTATATCTTTATGACTTTTGTCATTTGGAGAATTTCCAGTTGGAAATTGGAATTTCCAATTAATATTATTATCCTCTAGTTTCTCAATTAACTCCTGTTTTTCTTTCCCAGGAACAAAAGTGGCTCTAACTCCAGCACGTGCACAGTGAAGCAAGTTGAAGGATTTAATATGAAGCACAGAAGCAGATAGTGCCAAACAGCAAGCAGTAGTTGGTACACATTTGTGAGTAAAATTTTCTCTTTGGCTTATTTTCTTAGCTTGAAACTCTGTATGCCCAATCCTTAGAATTTAGACATTTTGGTAAAGAACAAAAGAAGCTTAGTTAGCATTCATAATGAAACCAGTTGTCAAGGCTCAGCACACTAAGCAACTTCTGAGAACTCTCTTGAGTGTCTCAATTAGATGGAATTTAAGATGTAGAGTACATCTGTGATATGGAGTTTAAGAAATATCCCAGCTATGGTGATATGGTGAAGACATTTATACTGTCTTTAATTGCTTATTGATCTGGGCTTATATAATATCATTTACTAAAAGCTTAGTGTAATTTGGTTTTTGAAATTTATATGCCTTTAAGAAAGCCATTACATACATATACATCAAATTTTAGGCTACCTATAATACATTTATTATTATCCTTTGCATTCTCTTTATGATTTCTTCATTTGTGTTTTGTCTAAAAAATTAAAGGTTTTTTTCTCCTTTGGAATATAATGATTAAAGGAGCTTTATAGCAGTGTTGATTTTTTTTTTCTAATTTAATACCAAATCTGTATCATCAGGACAGTTTTTCTTTATCTTGCTTGCAAAATTGCAACATAATGTCTATGCTTAAAAGAATGATAAAATTTATTATAATTTTTGAAATACAGAATAACTCTTGAAGAAAGATTTCAAAAGTGATTTCTTAGCTCTATTCCAAGTCATTTTCAAGTCCAAAAGTAATGTTGAGTATATATTCACTTTTATTCATAGTTTTCTTATGAAATGAATTGTCAAAATACTGATTTTTATTCTTTCTTTTTTACAGCTGGAAAAGCAGTGTCCGTGTTGTTATGTACACCTCCAAAAAAAAGTTCAGATCTGTAGGGGAATTGTTGTGTAAAGTAAACTGAACTACAGGGTAGCAGTATTTTAATAGCTATTGTAGACGTGTATTTACTGTATTAAAATGAGTAAAAGATCAAGCAGTGACACACCACTAGGAAGGTCAGTGAAATTTTTTTTCAGTTGAGTTAGTATTAAAGTTTGAAAGACAGTGGCTTAAAAGCTGTTTGCCATAGGCTAATCATGCACTTTTATGCTTTTATCAGCTTTTTGTACGTTAGGACAATATTCTCTCTCTTGCATTTCCCTGGAATCATGTATCCTTCTCTGATTTAGAAGGCTAAGTAATGCATTTGTACTGTCTTTTCCCAAAAGATATTTGATGCTTTTGAAGAATACACATATAAATAGCCAGGCATGCTGGCTCACACCTGTAATCTCAGTGACTTGGGAGGTCAAGGCAGGAAGATTGCAAGTTGAAGCCAGCTTCAGCAATTTAGGAAGGCCTGAAGCAACTTAGTGAGTCTCTGTCTCCAAAAAAAAAAAATAAAAAGGGTTGGGAATGTGGCTCACTGATTTAGTGCCCCTGGGTTCAATCCCAGTACTCAAACAAACAAATATAAAAATAAATAATGCGATTCTTTTAATCCCTCAAAAAAATGAATGTGTACTTTAAGGGTTTATTAATACTGTCTACTTGCTATTCATTGCATCTCAATCATCAGATATATGTTTTAATTTGTATTTTGTGATTTTCAGGGGATCACATCTTTTCAGTAAATTCAGCATTAACATTATTCACCTTTTGGGCCTGGTTTTCATCATTAAAAGCTTTTGTCTTTGCATGCATGACAGCAATTTCTAATTTATATAAAGTCAAACAGCTTTCTCTTAAATAATTGTTCAGGGTTTTTGTTTATTTGTTGTTTTATTTTGTTTGCAGTGCTGGAGATAAAACCCAGGGTCTCATGCATGTTTGGCAAGCGCTTTACCACTGAGCTACATTCCTGGCCCCCGATAAGGAATTTTTAATTTAAATTTTATTTCAGGCATTATTAAGTTATAAGCATTATGCATTTCTGTTTTTGCAGAGGAAGAGTATGTATTTTCTTATGTATGTGTGTGCGCACACATGCATACACATGTTTGTGTTGTGGTTATACAGTAATTTTAAAAATTTGTTCCTGAGCAAGCAATATCTTCAAGGTGCAATTTCAGCTATTAGGTGAAGACATTGTGTTGAGGAAAATATTTTCTTTAATCTTTTATTTTTCTTTTGTATGTATTCAATGCTCAAAAATGAGATGTTTCCTTTTGCTTTATTATAAGGTATTGTCTTCTGATAAGACAGCATAGAGGACTGGAATTCTAATACTTAGTCATCCTGGTCTTAAAATTTTCCTTCCACAGGGTAAGTGGGGCAGCATTTCCTTCACCCACTGCTGCTGAGATGGCAGAAATTAGTCGAATTCAGTATGAAATGGAATATACCGAAGGTATTAGTCAGCGAATGAGGGTCCCTGAAAAACTAAAAGTAGCACCACCAAATGCTGACCTGGAGCAAGGATTTCAAGAAGGAGTTCCAAATGCTAGTGTGATAATGCAAGTTCCAGAGAGGATTGTTGTAGCAGGTATTTCACGTTTGTTTAGAAAGTTGCCTCATAATCTGTTTTACATATTTTTGTGAAACCTTTTGGGGTTTTAAAACATTATTTAGAAAAGGGTTTGGGAAATACAACTTTGTTTTAAAAAATTTCTACTCATTACAACTGCTTGAATTTCAAGCAATTTCAAAAGTATTTTGACAAATTACTGAGATTTTACATGGATAGTATGTATACATTTTTAGGTGTACAACTGATGATTTTTGATAAACATGTAACCATGTAACTACCACAGTTGATATGACCATTTTTGTTACCCAAAAAGATTCCCTTGTGCTTCTTCTCCATCATTCCCTATGCCTCAACTCAAGTCAACTAAAATTTCTTTCTATAACCAGAGACTAGATTTATCTTCCCTAGAGTTTCATATATATGGAATATAATATATACTGCTTTGTCTGGCTCCTTTTGCTTGTGCAGTGTTTCTGAGATTCTTCCATATGGTTGCATATATTAATTGTTCATTCCATTTTATTACTGAACAATATTCTAGTATGTAAATAAATCATAAATTATCTATTCATCTGTTGGACATTTGAGTTGTTTCCTTTTGGGAGCTTTTAGGAATACAGCTGCTATGAATATTCATGTACATGTCTTTTTGAGAACATATGTCTTCATATCTTTAGAAATGAAATTGCTGGGTTATAAGTTATATTTAACTCTTTCAAATGCTGGCAGTCTATTTTCCAAATTATTGTCTCATCAGTGATATGAGTGTTGAAGTTGTTCCACATTCTTGCTAAAAGTTCATATTTGTCAGTCTCTTTAATTTTAGTCATTTGAAGGGGTGTGTAATAGCATTACCTTTTGATTTTAATTATTATTTCCCTGATGATTAATAATTTTGAACATCTGCTCAAGTGTTTTTGGTCACTCATATATCTCCTTTTGAAGCATTTATTCAGATGTTTTGCCAATTGGAAAAATTGAGTTTTATAAAAATTTCTGTACATATCTGGATACTAGTTTTTTTAATCATGTATATACTGCATAATTTCTTTATAAATTTCTGTGTCACAATATTAAATAATAGTGAAATATTAAACTTACAGTGAAAGTGTAGTTATAAAGAAACTAATGCTACTGAGTATGTTATAATACAAAAATGATACAAAGTAAATATATTTAAACCTACCCTCTTCTTTTTTTTTTTTTTTTTTCTTCATCTTAGGAAATAATGAAGACATTTCATTTTCAAGACCAGCAGATCTTGACCTTATTCAGTCAACTCCCTTTAAGCCTCTGGCACTAACAACACCACCTCGTGTACTTACACTAAGTGAAAGACCACTAGATTTTCTGGATTTAGAAAGATCTCCAACACCTCAAAATGAAGAAGTGAGTAGAGTTTTAGTATCAATTGAATTTAAAAGAATATAAACAAAAGTAAAAGTTAAGGAGAAATTAAGAGGCTATGTATCGTATCATTACATCTTTCCATGTGGTACACTGCTACTGTCAATTCTGATTTGTAAATTCTCCAAATATTATGCTATAATTTTTTTAAATATGCATCAGGAAAATTAAAATCTTGTGGGAAATATTATTAATATTCATGTAGACTTGAAAGAAGAACTTTTATGACTAGATGTTATATATTAATACAGAGAAAGTTGGAGAGTTTTACAGTAGGAAAAATTAATACATCTCTTTTTATAAACTCAAAGTTTATAAAGTCTGACAGACGGAGCTAAGGAAACTCTTTTTTTTTTTTTTTCTTTCTCTTTTTACAGTACTAGGAATTGAACCCAGGGATGTTCTACCATTGAACCACATCCTTCCCTTTTTAAATTTTATCTCAAGACAGGGTCTCACTATGTTGGTGATGCTGGCCACAACTTGCAATGCTCCTGCCTCAGTCTTCTAAGTAGTTGGGATTATAGGACTGGGCCACTGCACCTGGTACAAGCTCTTTTTCCCTTGACCTTCCCCATTCTTGATAATTGATGAAATGTTTCTACTGAGTTAGCTACAGTACCGCATATAACATTAGTACCCTTGTTGACTAAGCATAACAGTATGAATTAACTAGTTTTTAGCAGTAAAGCTCAAGTTTTGCCTCTGCTATTAACTCAGGACCAGTTTTTTTTTTTTTTTTTTTAAACTTCTTGATGATTTAGTTGCATATTTTTCATTATAGCTTCTGAACTTCTGATGTGATGTCATGAGGCTTGTACAGGACAGTAATATCAGCCAGATGCAGTGGCACATGCCTGTAATTCTAGCAACTCAGGAGGCCAAAACAAGAGAATTACGAGTTCAAAGCCAGTTGTGGCAAGTTAGCAAGACCCCATCTCAAAATAAAAAATAAAAAGAACTGGGATATGGCTCAGTGGTAAAGTACCCTGAGTTCAATCCCTGGTACTACAAAAAACAAAAACAAAGATCATGCGCAAGCATTTTTTTAAATTGGTCCTGCCTTTCTCTGCTTTCATTTTTCGTGCAGTCCATTCCAAAGGGGGTTAAGCACTCATATAAACTAGGGTAATGCAATTTCCTACTATTAGGTTTTGCTTATTTTTAGGTTTAAAGTTCCTGCTGAAGTACTTGAGATAATATACTCTTGGGTGCCAAATTGTACATTCTAGATATGCTTAGTGAAAGCACTAAATTTGATTCTTTACATGACAGAAAGGCACCAAGGTACTTGTAAATTTTTTTTATTTAACAATCATTTTTTGAGCTTCTATATATAAGACCTGAATATAGTACAGGAGTGAATGACAGATAGCTCCTGTTCTCAAAAAATTTACTATTTGCCTGGTGTTATGGTTTAAATGTGAGATGTCCCCAAAAAGCTCACGTGAGACAATGCAAGAAGGTTCAGAGGAGAAATGATGGGGTTGTAAGAGTCTTAACCCAATCAGTGATTTAATCCCCTGAAAGGGATCGACTGAGTATTAATTGAAGTGGTAGGGTATGGCTGAAGGAGGTGGGAATTGGGAGCATGGCTTTGGGGTATATATTTGTATCTAACAAGTGGAGACTTCTCTCTCTGCTTCCTGATCATCGTGTGTGCTGCTTCCCTCTGCCACACTCTTCTGCCAAGATGTTCTGCCTTAACCACAAGCCAGCCTTCTATGGTCTAAGACCTCTGAAACCGTGAGCCCTCAAATAGACTTTTCCTCCCCTAAAATTGTCCTGGTCAGATAGTCACAGGAGCAAAAAAGCTGACTAAAATACCTAGTCACTGCAGGATAATGCTGTAAGGGAAAAAATAGACACACAGAAGATATAAAGTTCTTTATTAAAAAAAAATGATAAAGATTATAAAGATGGCTACACAAAGCAAAAAGTGCCACAGAATGCCCCCAGTTAGGGGTCTACTTTCCAGCTCCCCAGAGTTTCCATTGGAAGTTAAAACTGTGAGAAATACTGTCTTGGAATAAGGATTCTAACAGGAGAGAGTTGCTTTATTTGTTATTTGACAGGTTTTGTTTTTCTTTTGATCTTTCTGAAGATAAAAATAATGCCAGTGCATAAGATTGTTGTGAAAATTCATGTTAAAACTCAATGTGTATAGACATTATTGTTATAAAAGAGTAAACATCCTATAGCAGGATCCAAGTCCTGAAAGAGTTTCTGAGAGTAGTACTAGCTGCCTACTGAAAAGCTTTGACGGTAGTCTGTACTTCCAAGTTTTTAGAAGGGTCAGGTAGCTGTCAGGAGGTAATCAACCAATGAATGGGGGAGGGAGCCAGAGTTCTTACAGCTGTTAGATATGGATTAAAATAAAAAGGCAGTAGGCTCTGCAAGCTGATGACATTGATGATTCATTCATTGTATAAAGTGACATCCTCAGAACCATTTGCTCTATAGTAATCATTCTCTAAGAGATGCCAGGGTTTCTCTATTGACATCTTGAATTGGAAAACTCGACAGTGAGGGCTGTCCTTTGCATTGTGGAATGTTTAATTACATTCCTGATGTCTGCCTGTAAGATGCTAGTAGCATCCTCAAAATCATGACAATAAAAAGTATCTCCAGCAACTAAAATATAGAAACAGATCAAATTTCCATCAACTAATGAATGGATTAATAAAATATGTAATATTCAGAGAGTGACTATTAATTGGTAAAAAGGAATGGAGTACTTATACCTGGTATAACATGAATCAACTTTGAAAACATGCGAAGGTTAAGAAGCCAGATAGAAAAGGCCATGTATATTCTACTTGTGTGAAATATTCAGAATAGGCAAATCTATAGAGATGGAAAGCAGATTAGTGGTTGCCAAAAGATTGAAAGAGAGAGAGGAATTAAGGATGACTGTATAATCTGGATGGGGTTTCCTTTTGTGATAATGAAAATGCTCTTGAACTAGATAGTGGTAATGTACAACATAGTGATCATGCTAAATGGCACTGAATTATACACTTAAAAATGGTTAAACTGGGAATTGTATGTTATGTGTATTTTACCACAATTAAGAAAAAAATATCTGCAGACATTGCCAGATATCCTCTACAGGTCAGAATTACCCTTAACTGAAAGCCACTGTCCTATGTCAAGAAAGGAGACTACTGGGGAAAGACTTATGAGAAATAATTTAAAATTGTTGTTCAAAAGCCTAGCTAATGAGTTGAATGTGGTAGTGCATATTTGTAATCTCAGTTAACCCTGAGAGGCTGAGGCCTGCCTGGACAACATAGTGAGACCTTATCTCTGAACAAATGAATGAGAAAGAAAATATGACTGACTCAAGGAAAAAAAATTGTAGAAATCAAATGCACCTAATTTCCTAAACTGGCTTAAAGAATCCAAGTGAGTCTACATGAAGGGCTTAAAACCCTTTAGCTGAAGTCAGTGGGAGATCTTCCAGAGTACAAGAAGAGAACAGTACATAGAAAAATAATTGGGAAATGATACTTCTGAGAAGATTTGACAGCTGTGAGGAGTGTGACCAAGGCAAAGATTTGGATTCAGCAACATCGCCTTTTAGTCAAGCAGCAGTATGCTTTGTAAAGATCAGCTATAGGTAAATGTCAGAGCTTTATGAAAATTCTTTGAAGTAGGAAGAGAAAACAGACTGTAAAGGATGAATTGTAAGAAGTTTTTGCCAAAATTCACAATTCCTGCTTCAAAGAAGAGAAGTACTAGAATGCTATCCATTTCTGTAATAAATCTTTAGAAAAGCACCAAACCCCAAATGTGCCTAAGAAATATTAGTTAATCAAAGGCAATCTGGAAGGAACAAACCAGTTGGTCTGAATAAACTTTACCTGATTTTGGAAGAAAAGAGCAAAGGCAATGAATGTTTTCTTCAGAGAAGAAACTTATCTCCGAGCCATGTCAAATGATCAAATTCTACTATACAAAGTGTGAAGCCAGAACTCTGGGACTAGGAGAAATATTACCCAGCTAGAGCCAACTTCATCACCAATTACACTTAGAAAGCCATGGTTATAGAAGCTGAAGGATAACACAAAAGCTATAGACTCGGTAATCCTACTGTAAGGGTCTTGTTCCCTACTTATTAGTGCCTTATTGACATGAACCCTGAGGAGGTGAAGCTAAATACCATATCTGATCTGAAGTATAGGGAGTCACTCAGCTATGCAACAGAGCCTGAAACAATTGCAGACTCCGCCGGCATTCCATGAATACTCAAGAGGGCCCTGTAATAGCTAGAAAGAAAGCAAGTCTCTCGTCTTCTTATCCATCCTTACGATGCATGAATAAATGCACCTGGTTGTGGAGTTGTTAAATTTTGCTTACAATTGCCTACAAGTAATTTTGATTTGGGGCTTAACTATAACATACTTTTGCAATAGGCTTCAAATGGACTCTTCTGTTTTCAGATGTTATTTTTTTCACAGACCCTCCCTCAGTCTTTCTCCAGTATCTATTGTTGAGCACTATTCATTTCATATACTATGTAGTTAAACCTACAGTGGTTGTGTCTGTATTGAAAACTATAGATTTTTTTCTTTCTTCTCTGAGCAGTACAGCATAACATCTCTTTGTGCAGCATTTATTTTGTATCGCATTAGGTGACTTAAAGTGTATGGGAAGATTACATAGCACTATGCCATTTTAAACAATATACATGTCTGGCAGTAATTCTTGGTTGCTTTTCCTTGGTTCCTTGTAATTTATATGAATAACCCTGGATTAAGATTCTTTTGATGCTAAGCAGCTACTAAGAATATTTTCTGTCCTCTTCCCTTTGTGCCTTAACAGATCCGTGCAGTTGGCAGGCTAAAAAGAGAGCGCTCTATGAGTGAAAATGCTGTTCGCCAAAATGGACAGCTGGTCAGAAACGATTCCATGTGAGTAGAACCACTACACATTGTATCATGTTTGTAAGTTTTCTCAGTTTATTGTCTATATGCATCTTTTTCTAAATAGTTATTTCCCATAATTTTGGAATCTGTTTTACATTTACATCAATTTTGTATTTTTGCAGTACTTTTTATAGCCTTAAATCTGACCATTTTGTTAGTTGTATGAATTTTTCAGTAACATTATTTTCTATGTGTGACTGATACTCTTTTGTGAGTATGATTGGCTTATTTGGGAATTCTATAAAGTATATTTAATTGATGAACATAAGTGCTCAGTTATAAACAGTCTTTAAAAATGTTTATCATATACACTGAAAAATAAAACAGAATAGAATGTCTTTATTTTCAAGTTATTGATATCATGATTGTAAGTCAGCCATTTTCAGCTCTGTCTAGTGAGCTGAGCTGTGGCAAACTGCAGCATAGATAAGTAGAATTTTGCATACCTTTCCAGGAATAGTGTTTGGTGTTTAGCTTTCTACCTGCTGATTCTTAAATTGATAGGTCCCTTTCATTAAAAAGAAAAAAAAATACAGAGATCTTGTTTAAAGAACTATTTGCTTAAATTCTTCTTTCTTATTTGGTTATGTTATCACATCATGATTTTAAAACTACTCTAAGATGTTGCAGATTAGGAAAATGCTTTTTATTGTTTTGTTGTAATTAACTGATTTTTACAAGTAAAATATCCTTTGAAAACTGGTCAGAATTTTAAATCTTACACTAGTAAGATCATTTAGATTATTTATACAAATTAATATTCTTCCTCATTAATTTTTGATCAGTTTCCATGAATTCATCAGGACCAAATGTGTTATCAACCATAATATTAGCTTCTCTGAAAACTATGAAAGAATCAGGTGGTATTAGATCTTTTCTGGAAACTTGAAAATCTAGATAAAAGCAAAACATTTAATTTTGTATACAAAATAAGTAGAGCACAATACAATTATACTATTTATATCAAAACAGTAAGTTCTAGTTTGTACTTGACTAAAGAATGTGGTGTCCAGAGGGACTTTGATGAGGGTAGGAGCTTAATATTCAAGTTGGAAAGAAAATGTTTTTCATATGTTTTTATCCTTGCTTTGAAAGAAGTCTTATGTACGAATCCAATCAGTGAAATTCCAACTTAAGTGTAAATTATCTGCTTGTTTCATTGAAATTCCTTTCTCTTATGTTATGTTCAAGAGAGAATTATAACTGCTCTGATTCCTTAAGAGTCTCAAATGCCCTTTAACAAAGTTGTTATTCTGTAGGGTTATATAAAAAGAGAGTTAAAAACAAATGTATCTCCTTTAGGTATCTAAAAGGTTCAACTATTATTAATATGAAAGTATCTATGATTAATTTTATCTTTCCTGGAAGGTATCTGGTTGGCAGATATGATGGCAACAAGTTCATAAGATCCATATTTTCCTAGAATATTTCCTAATATAGCAAACGAATAATTAAAAGCTACGTAGTTTATGGCTAAGTTAGATTAAACACACCTAAAGTCTTAGGTTATTTTCTGTTTTTTTTTTTTTTTTTTTTAAGGTAGCAAAGTTTCTAGTAAACTTTCTTACTATATAAAGATGTGATTTACTACTTAGGACCTTAATTACTTTGACAAGTTCCTATAACATAAAAAGATTAATAGTGTTCATTTTTAATTTTCACTTTAAATAGCTTTGATGCCACTTTCTAGTTGTTTAACAAAACTAAAAATTTTGTTTTGAAAATCCCATTTTTGACAGTGAAAGTAACGTGAAATTTTTATATATTTCACAGTGAAACACTTGATATTATTTAACCATACTTTTTGTTATAGTTGTTATACATGTTGCCATGTTAGTAGTAAGATATTTAACTCTTTATGTTAATAATGAAACTTTGCCCTTTCTTCTCCTACCATTGTTAATTTTTATAATTTATAATATTCATCTTTAAGGATCCATATCTCACTAACTTTAGGAATTTTGTATAATGAGCATATCACATATTCAATGCTGTTAATGTGGTAAGAAAAAAATTAATATAATACAGCTATGGTTACCTCAATTAAAGTAATTATTAAAAGCTTCCTGCCTTTACCAACTTAAATCTTTTCTTTGTAGTGGGAGACTATGCATCATTATGCATGAACCTTTGCCTGCTTCCACTTTATTTTGTGAATCTAAAAGTGAAAGAGCAAGGGCATAGGCTTTTGTTTTTTTACTACTTCAAAGAGGCAATAAGATTGATTATTGTCACCTATTGGCAAAAATGAATTCTGACAATAGAATCATTTCTAGCTTTTTTTGTGTGTTATGAAAGCTGAATATGTGAAAGAAGCGTAATTATTATTTAAGGTGGCACAGATCAGATTCTGCCCCGAGAAATAAAATTTCAAGGTTCCAGGCATCGATTTCTGCACCGGAATACACGTAAGATTTTATCTGCTCTGCTTTTCACAAGTAGGAGTTGTTCTAATTTTTCAGGCTTCTGTTAATACTAATTAATTAATCTATTTTACTAGGTAATTGGTATGTACTACCATAATTCTCTTTTTCTTTGGCTTTTTAAGTACTTCTCTTTCAGGGTTTCTCAAACTGTCATCATACATTTTATTAAGTAAAAAAAAAAAGACCAATTGAGAAAGTTTTATGTGGTTATACGTATTGGTGAAAGGAAAATGGAATGATTAATGCATAAAGATAAAGCACCTTTTTCTATTTTCTTTATTTTGCTTTGGTTAGACTATTAGTATTCTGTAGATTCAACTTAAGCAGTTTCAGTAATCCAATTTTTTAAATTTTAGCACACTATCTTTTCTTGTTTAATTTTGACCCAGAAGGAGAATGGATTCTTCATTGAGGTTTGTTATTGAAGTTGTTTGTCTGCCTTTGTGTATTTTTTTTATTTGTTTTAATTAGTTACACATGACAGTACAATAATCTTGACATATCATACATTTGAATCAAATGGGATATAATTTCTCATCTTTGTGTATTTTTAATTCCATCTGTTAAATTATTCTTGGAAGAATTTTGTGAGATCCTTAAACTCATTTTTTTTGTAAGCGTGACAGAATAAAGTGTGGTAATGACTGTGCTCGCATGAGAGGAAACATTTTGGTGTTGTGCAGTACAAAAATTCAACAGTGAATATAGTTCTTTAGGAAATAAAGAAACCACACAAATGGCCAATAGTTTTTCTCTTATTATGGTTTTATTATTATGCTTCTGGGGACTAGTAAATTATCTTATAGATAGCAATAGCAAATTAAGATTTTCTGTTTCAAATTTCAAGAGAAATTAATATAGAATTTGTGTTTCAGTTAAAAAAAACATATATTAAATTCTCTCTCTCTTTACCACTGAGCTTCACTCCAGTTCTTTTTATTTTTTATTTTGAGACAGGATCTCACTAAGTTGCTGAAACTATTCTTGAACTTGGAATCTTCTTGCTTCAGTCTCTTAAGTAGCTGTGATTATGGGTGTGTCCCACCATGCCCGGATTTTCTCTCCTTTTTTTTTTTTGTTTTTTTTTACTATTTACCTATATAAATATCTGTAAAAGGCTAGCACCTCACCAAAAAGGTTACTCTCACAGTTTGAGAAACATTATTCCTGTAAAAACCCATAGGAAGAGGTACTTAGCTTTAAACTTACCTTTTAATAATGACATAGTTATGCTAAGCAAATTTAAATTTTAGTTCTGACATTGACTAGCATCATTTATTTAACACTTATATGATAAGATTTTTATGTAAGCATGTGATAGAGTAAACCTCAGTGCTTTCTTCAAAATTTTCTAATCTTTTATCTTATCCTGATACCTTTTAAAAAATTAAAATTGAGATTTTGTTGTTTTTGTAACATTACTAGGATTGTTTTTCATCCAAATGCAATTTTATTAAATTACTAATATTGTGATATTTGCTTAATCTCAGTGCCTTTGCATTGTGTTTACTTAGCAATAAAACAAACAAACAAAAATCATTAAACCTTGATTTGGGTACATGAGTGGACAGAGATGAAACCCAGTTTCCCTCCACAGATGATACCAGTAAAGAATATTCCAATTGACTGATAAAATTTTTAGGGCTTCTTATTTTTTGCTCTCAAATTTATTTATAAAGAGATGACTTCTCATTAAAGCTTTGCAAAAGAAAAAAGGAATTGCTAAATTATCTATTATTTCGAATTATGAAGGTAGTTTTATTCATCTCTGATTTATAATCACTTGGCTCCTCTGTAGATGGAAATAATCAAGGGCACTTAATCTGTACGCATTCTGTCAAAAGTAGACTTCAGTTTAAAAATATACTTCCTATTCTGTTTTTGCTGTTTATGGAGGATTGCCATGTAAATGAATGAAAAGTTATTTCTTACTAATTCTTGAAACTTTAATTTCCTTGAAGAAACAACCAGAAATCCAAATACTTTTTTTACATTGGTCTTGATGAAATAAATACTTTTACTAGTATTGATAAATACTTAATCTCATCCTTTTTTCTACATAAATATTTTTTCTTAAGTTCAATTGAGGATCATACAAGGTTTTTTCCTGCTTATTATCATATTCCAATTTCATATGATAATAGAATCTTAAAATTGGAAGAGATTTTAGACTTTTAAAAAAATTAAATTTATTTTTATTAGTTGATTTCTCTGATAATGTGATATTAACATTAATCTTTGATATTTAACAAGTGCCTGTAGATTGTTCTAGAATCCAACCTTCTGTTCATCTTTGCCATTAATCTGAAGTTAGTCTATGCTTGACTATTTTATAAGATAACTACCTCATTTTCTGTGTATGTAGAGAAAATACTTGTACTTTAAAATTGTATATATATATATGTATGTGTGTATATATATATATATATATATATATATGTAATTCCTTATTGTTTGTTTCTAGCAAACTGGTTTCTCTCAAAAGAAATAACTTTTAATTTTAGTGGGCAAAAATCATCCAACACTATGCATAGACTTGGATTTAGTTCATTGATGTAGTTGCCTTAAGATTATAATTCTAAATATTGGTTATTATATCCTTTACTATACTACTATGTAACTAATTTTTTAATACAGAATGATGAACAAAGTAGTCGATTTCATCCTCAAAATTCAAAGTACTAATTAATTTTTTAAAAGCTTAAAAATTTAGCTAGGTACACAGGCAGCTCTATCAAGAATATAAAACCGGCCAGGCGCAGTGGCGCAAGCCTGTAATCCCATTAGCTTGGGAGGCTGAGACAGGAGAATCCTGAGTTCAAAGCCAGCCTCAGCAATGGCAAGGTGCTAAGCAACTCAATGAGACCCTGTCTCTAAATAAAATACAAAATAGTGCTGGGGATGTGGCTCAGTAGTCAAGTGCCTCTGAGTTCAATCCCCGGTACCCCCACTCCCCAAAAAAGAATATAAGATGGATTGTTTAGTTATGTGGATGTAGAACTGGCCATTTTAAATCCTGCTTCTGGTGATACTTTTCAAACATAAACTCAGTCTGATTTCTCACAAATAGCAGGAGCTTCAGGTTTTCACTATGCTACCTAAAAAGAATTCTGAGTACAATACTAGTACTCTAGTCTCTGTATCCCAGATGTGCTATTTTTGTTTGTTTGTTTGTTTGCATCCTTTTAAGATGCCACGGCCCATGATGCATGTACACACGCACAGACAGATTGCCAGTCTCTCTCTGGACAGACATTTAGGGTTACTAGCCATGAGACTGCATCTGAAAATTGGAATTTATCGTAATACCACTTAATACCATTAGATCTAATTCCCATGATGCATCAGCCTTGACTGATTAATTTCCAAATGTGCCAAGATATGACTTGGAACTTTTTTTTGTAAGTAGTCTTTGGAAAACAGTTTTCATCTTTATTATACATTTCTCTTTAGATCATCAAGACACTAAAAGTTGTTCTCCACGTTTGTAAAATTAAAATTTTAAAATTTGAGAATAATATTAAATGACAGTAACTATCCTTTCAAGAATTATCCCACTTATTTTATGGTTTCCAAGCCAATACATGTTAAATTAGAAAATGTTACAGTCAAAAGATTTTTCTATTTTGGTTGTTCACTATCTGCTCTGCTTTTATTCTTTTTAAATGAAACACACAGGATTAAATTTAGCCTAATGTGTTTTGCACTGACATTGAGAATGTTGAACCGTTATCCAGGTGTGTTATAGTCCTCTTATTTTAACGAGTCAAATGCCAAGGCCACATATCAGTTAAATGCCTCACATAGCAAACTATACTTGAATATTAAAAAGCTCTCTCAAAATACTGACAATATCTTAGGTTAGAACTCTGCAAATTGCTTCATTCAAATGTGGTCAGCAGTCAGGAAGCCCAGGCAAGGAAGCCAAAAGAAAGAATCTGCTCACAAATTAAAGAATGGCTATGAGTACTGTCACTGAGAAGCCCAGAAATGGTTATCAGCTATCTTGATGATTTAAGAAGTATCCTTCCTTCTTTCACTTTGTTCTCAGAGTTGGGAATAATTTTGTTTTAGTCATTTAACTAGAGAGCACATGCTTTATTATAATTAAACACTCAAAAGTCTCAGTTTCTAAGACTTTAGCTTTTAAATTAATTTCATTTACTTGTGAATGTAACTTGCTTTGTTGCTTTTGTGATGTGTTTGAAATAGCATTTTTATGGAATCACTTTTGATTCATGTGTTTGGATTTTGACATCTGTGTACCAGAATTCTCTATTCTATTCTTCTGATCATCCATAAGTTTGCAGTGTTGTTTCTTAGAGGTTTGGTTTACTGAATTGGACAATATACTACATTAAATAAAGAATGCTACTGCTCTGACACTAGGAATTAAGTACATTCATTGCTGTGGTTCTCTTCCCTCTCCAAAGGCATTTTTCATATCCACTTTTTGTATTATTGTTTAGGGTTACAGAGCTAAAAGTACTACTTTGCAGTTGGTTTTTGAAAACAAAATGTTTATAAACTTTAGTTTAGTTTCTTGGGGGAAAGTGAAGGGTGGGGAAGAAAGGGGGGGGCAAGAAAACTAAGATTAAAAACTGCTCAGCTGAAGTTTTATAAAAATCTGACTTGAGTGTTTTTCTCTTCGTTTGCTATGCTTATGTGAACAGTGTGACACCATCGCCACAACAGGCTCGGGTCTGTCCTTCCCATATGTTACCTGAAGATGGAGCTAATCTTTCCTCTGCTCGTGGCATTTTGTCGCTTATCCAGTCTTCTACTCGTAGGGCTTACCAGCAGATCTTGGATGTGCTGGATGAAAATCGCAGGTGATTGGCCATCAGTGACTTGCCAGCTTTGTTGCATATTTTTTTGGTGCCTTATCTAGTGAGTTGTGGTGTCTTTTATGTTTGCACCTTCTCAGTCTCTAAGATGCAATGGTTTGAAATGGCTTGCTTTGCTTTCTTTTAATTTCAAATTATTGTCCAAAATTCACATTTCATAAGATTACATTAGATTTTGTTCAGTTAGAAAGAATATTTAGTTCCTGAGAACAGGATATGTGATGATGTTTTTTTTCAAAGGCTTTGCTGATTTATTTGAAGTACTTGATTCCATGTGGGGATATGCTGAAGGTTACTGTTGGATTGATTGTGGGATGTTGGACTGCTGAAGCATACTAGTTTTCTTTTAGTAAGTTTTTTATTTAATTGCTTGTGCAACTAATATGATTGAGTAAATAAAGCATGTTTGAGATGGCATTACAGCCACCAGTCGTTTTTTTGTCCTTTCCCCTTAACTACATACTAAAAATTCCATAGTGCTATTTTGAACATCTCCAAGTTAACTCATTAATAATATATTGTTAGTTGTAAATGCAAACATTTTTTTGCAATCATTTCGAATACTTTTATCCCTGCCACAATACTATATAATGTTTTTTTAAAAAAGTGAAATTGGAGAAGCTTTTTTGGCATAGTGTGGGAAAGGTAAAGTCAGTTTCCTTTCAACTCCGAACATGTGACTGGTAATTTCTCAGAGTCAGTGTCTGAATTTTTGTTGTCATTTTATTGAACTATTAATTTTTGCATTTTGAAGAATTCTCAATAAATTAAGCTGGCTTTTCCAGTAAACCAAATTTTTTTTTTTTTTAATAACCTTAGGTGTCTTCTGGCTTGCTTTTATTGATTGCTTTTATACTCACACATACCCAGGAACTTCTCCATAGTTCTTGAGCACTATTTGTCATTATTATCCATACTATTTATCATTATTGAATTTAGGGACTTTTCGAGTCTTTGCAGGGCTAATCTAGTGGTATACATTTGGACTCAAGGACTTCAAGGTGCTCTATAAAGAGCTTATAGAGACAAACTCATGGCACAGTGGGAGAATTATGTATACTGTGAATGTATATGTATACATACATTTTTTTTTATTTTCCCCCAAGCATTTAGAGTTCTTTGAAGCTTCTAAATCTTAGAATATTTGGAAGCTATAAGAAGCCAGCCACAAAGTTCCAAAGAAAAGCATGGATTCAGAGAGTCATATTTATTCTTGATCCACCTCACAAAATAGCTGCATCATGGCCTTGAACAAATTGCTTATCTTCTCTGGGCCTCCTTTTCCTCATCTGTTGAAAAAAGGTAAAAAAAGGTATAATAATGCCTGGCTTTCTGTATTCTTGTGAATAGTCCCCTTCCCTGCCTTTATTAAAGATTTAGAGCTACTGACTTCAAATTATTTAGTATGGTAAGAGAGCCTCAAAAGATATAGAGGGTAAAGTACCTGGCCTTAACTAATATCTGCAAAAAACTATTTTCACATCTCTCCTCTAAACAGATTTATTCTCTACCAGATATTCTCCTTAACTTTTTTCCTTACATAGGTTCTTAGAAGAGGTCAGATTATTAAGTCAGTATCACATCAAATGGTATTATAGTAAAAATATCTAATGAGAAAAAAAATTCTAAATTCTGTTTAGATTAAATAATAGCTAGATGACAAAGTCCCAGTATGATTGTTTGTTCCTCCTTCCACCAATACGTACACAGTGCAAATGCATTTATATGGAACTTGAAAAAATATGGGCTTTTTTTCTCCATAATGGAAAAATTATTTACCTGAGGGTCAAACAATACAAAATCAGAAATCTTACTAATGTAAATTTTACCTTGTATTCTTTCATAATGAAAAACTATATACAATTCTATGTGAAATTTTATTTTGTAATAAATTGGTAACTTTAAAAAATCCCTTTTCTGGGAAGAAATTATCTTATTTACCTAAAACATGTTTTTTAATTGAGAAAGGTATTATAGTAGTAATACTTTACTCCTGGATATATTCCAATAGTTTTTACCATGTAACTCGAGTTAGGCTCTCATTAATCTTATCCATGTTTTCATTACTGAAAGGGTCTGTCAAAGTTATATTCAAATTTTTTATGATCTAAATGTTGAACAAGATTTGATCAGAATTTTAAGTAACAAATCAGTTTTTATTTTTGCTATAAGAAGTATCTAGTATAATTTTTCAGATATAAAAAATAGGAATGTGAAATTTGGATAATATTCTTGCATGGTTGTAAAATAATACTGCTTATAAAAATTTAAATGCTTTTATGTTCCTTGCCCTGTGCATCATTTTGTTTTCTTTTCTATTTTATTACTCTTGGCTATTTTGCTAATGCAATATCTTATCTTTGGTCTTACGCCATCACATTGAGTATAGTTAATTTAAGCTATAACTTTTTCAGAAGAAAAAAGCTTTCTGCCTGGTTTATTATCATAAAATAATGCAGTTTCATAGTTGTTCAACATGAGCTATTTTTGGTTTGCATCTTAAGGGACACTGTCAAAAGGTTTTTTTACTGTACCTTTTTTTCTCAGCTTATGAGAACTTAATTGATAAACAAGTTCAACACGAAAACCAAGTTAAATCCTAGGTAATTGTTAGAAAAGTTCATTTACATAGGTCAGTGCTATACATTTGGAAAAGTGATATATTGAAAATGTATCAAAATACTTAGGATAAGCCCTGTGCACAGTTTGCTTAGTTGGCAGCAGGATTTAAAAAGCTGTTATGATTTCATGCTTTGTTGGTTAGACATTGCCCATATCTAGTTAATACGTCTATTACAACTATATATGTCCTTTTCCAATATAAAATATTATCATTTTTTAAAACCATATTTATGTGTAAGAACATTATATACTGATAGATGTTATTTTTAGGAGGAGCTTGGTTATTGCTATAGTTTTTTCTTAGCAAATTATACTAGTTTTGAGTGAATAGAATAAGAAACCAGTATGTGAATAGTTTATATTTTTGACAAGTATCCCTATAAATCCATAACTTAGAAGACCTAGAAACACAGAGTTACAGTGGATATGATATGTTATTTGTAATTTTTCCTTTAAAAATATATACTTCCTCATTTTCAAAACTACTTATTTTCTATAGCAGTTTACATTTTCATAGCAAAGAAACATATAATCTGTCAATTTAGACCATATATTTACTCAAAAATGTCAATATGCAGGTTAATGCTGGAATTTGGTAGCCTTGGATTTCCTTCCTTTTTGCCACTTTAATTACAAAACATATCATTGAAAAATTTCTTTTTATGTATTAAATCATACTTATGGTAGCAAGTGGTACTTTAATGAAGTTTGCAACTTTACCAAATACCTGTCTAATTTACTTTTATATTATGTGTGTCAATTGCCAGTGTGAGAAGACAAAATGAAATACGTTGTGAAAGGTAACTGTATTATTTTCTGGCTCTGCATTATAAAAGGGAAATCTCTGTGGTGGACTATGTTGGATACAGCAGACCCATTTGAACATATTAATACACATTTTTAAAATATTTTAAAAAGCACACAGCAGCGGCTTCATTTAATAACCATTCTCATATTTGTGTAATTTAAGATTAGTTGATTGATAGTCTTCCTAATATCACAGAGTAAATCTGATGGGAAGATAAGATGAACCTAATACCTGTCTCAAGCATATGTGATTCCTCATTGTCTCTTAACCAACAATATAAAAGTCAGACATATCCTTTAAAAGGTTCTGAATCCTGTATCCTCTAGGCTCCAGAAACTTTATAAAGCACCAGTAGTGCCTTTAGAACATGTGACTTTAGGACAGAAGTTAAACATTAAATATTTCTAGCATAAACTGACTTGTCAGAAAATAGTAATTTGTAGTCTTCAACTGTTCCAGCTTACAGAAAAAAAAAAAATTGTACAATGGTATTAAACATTTACTATAATTATTGCCTTGATACTTACATTTAGGCAAATATCTAATTAGTTAAAGAAAAAAATGAGACATTCTAAAACAGGATTTAATAATTCTTAAAATCTTTACATGGATCCTCTAACCCATTCTTCTTTCTCTGATTAGTAAATATAGCTGCTTATTTGGGGGCAGTTGACCAGTGGACATGTAGAGCTTTTGTTTTTTGATTGTAACAAATAAATTATATTAGAAAGGTTACTGCTTGTCTAGATAAATTAATTATCCTCTAGGACTCAAATATGTTCTGAGACTATGTATAAAGCCCCACAAAGTTTTCCAGTGCACCTTGGTCCTTGTTTCCAGCAGCCCTGTATGTTACTCCTGGTTGTCTCAAGATCAGACTCACATATTTGTTTGCATTTCCTGCCATGTGCCCTAGCATGTCTCCCATATTCTCGGCTCTGGAACTGAGGCATGCATTTTTTACTCTGGAGAGCTGAGGGTTTAAGCCAGACACATCAGACATGAGTCAGAATTAATGAGGTGGGAGGGAAGGAATTGTGGGAAATGAGGAAATTCACAGTTTTTGAGGTAGAACTGTTGATATTGATGAGCAACCATGATCATGCAGGTGCCACAATAGGTTCTTGACATCTTTTAAAGTTGCCAGTGATTTTTTTCCCAGTCAGAAGAAAATAATTGCATTTTTTTAAACACAGTGGTCCTCTGTCTTGAATTTCATAAATTATGAGCACCAAAAAAAATTATGTTGGTGCTATTTTACTTTGTTTCTTCAGTCAGTTGAAAACTATTAGATTTATGAAAATCATAAAATGGAGGATGTATGAACAAAGATTTTCTGAGTTTTTGAGAGATATTATATTGTATTAAAGCATACAATATAATCTTATTTGACATTTATCTGTCTTGTTTTTGCTTTTATTTTATCATTTCTCTGTTTCCTGACTCTGTCTTGTGCCTTCTCCTGCAAAAACCTGCTGTAGACCTGTGTTGCGCGGTGGGTCTGCTGCCGCCACTTCTAATCCTCATCATGACAACGTCAGGTAACTTTTGAGACTTTGTAATCATCAGGGGAAGTACAGAGTTGGGGATTTATGTTCTGCAGAATATAATGCATGTTGCAGCGTGGACTTGACAGGTTTCACTTATGAATAATCTTGCTTCTAAGAACAAGAAGTTGAAGCAGTCAAGACATTTGACTGCTGGAGTCTGAGGGAAAATGTTTAATATTAACAGGGTGGTGTGATATGAACATCTGAGATATTTTATTTAAATACAGTTTTAGTAGCTTGTAGGAGATTATGCTAAAATGCAGTAAGAATGATTTTAAGTCATGTTTTATCTGCACTATTTTAACTGTTGCCTAGGTTCAGTGCAGCATTTCCTCTTTAGTTGTTAATTATAATGTCACTTTCATAGTGTAGATAATCCAGTGTTAAGCACTATCGTAAATTGGGTAAAATCATCATTGACAACTCAACAGTTCAGAAAGGTGAACATTTATTTAGAAAGGGAATTTAATTTTAAGCATTTTTATTATCATAAATATCAGTCTTTCTCGTTTTTGCCCCTTTTGCACTTTCAGACACAGCCTGAATAATTGTTTGGTGTTTTTTTTTTTTTTGGTCGTCACACATCACACATGGGCAGATATTTAAAGTTCCTGTTTAGTGTTCCTGTCTTCTAGGAAAACAAAAGCAAAAGCTGATTGGTGTTTACAGATGCTATTACTCTTAATTTTTCAGAGCCAGTTTTGTTAAATGTAAGCTAAAATGTTTTACCTGTAGTAGTAGATTTAAAATTGGCAACTTTGTTTCTGTTAGAGAGACTGACACATTGTTAGGGAAGAGAAAAGGGACAGCATCATTTGATATTTGTCAGTTCAGTTCATGTTGGAGGAATTGAAGTGCACCCTTGGTGGCCCCCTAACTGTGCTGCTGACTTATTTTCTTTGACAATCTTAATTTTAATCCGTTTGTTGTTTTCCCTCCTATTTTTCTCTGTTTGTTATTACTTTATCTTTCTGTGAAATTATTTTTAACCAATGATCTAACTTAATGTTTCTACAGAGATTTTAGTTCTGATAAATACAAGTTTTAGTTTAAGATACTTAAAGTAATTGCACAGTGAGTGGCACATGCCTGTTATCCCAGTTACTTGGGAGGCTGAAGCAGGACAGTTGCAAGTTCAAGGCCAGCCTGGGCAGTTTTAGCAATACCCCATCTAAAAATAAAATAAAAAGGGTTGAGGATACAGCATAGAGACAAATCACCCCTGGGTTCAATCCCCAGTATACAGAAATATATACATATATACGTAAATTGAAGTCTGTATGTAAAGTCTTTTGTCCTGTCTCTAGATTTCTTTGCGAATGACGATTTCCTTTACAGATTTTTAAAACCTTAGTTAATTCAGGATTTAAATTGCAAATAATCTCTATCATTTAAACTTAGCTTTCTATCTTCAGGCCAGGTCCCTTTAACTTTGAGGATGAAATGTAGAAAAGAGGAATCTTGAAGCCCTATTTTTTCCTCTAATCTTTTAATAATTCTGTTTAGTTGTTATTGTTTCTCAGTGCTAGGAATTGAACTCTGGGCCTTGTATATGCTAGGCAAGCACTGAACCACATCCTCTGCCCTAATAATTCTCTTTTAATGTTCAAAGGAATAATTAACTCAGATGTTTATAAGCCCATAGTTTGTAAGCCCAAGTTTGCATGTTCTTGTAAACAGAAACTGACAATAGTTGCAATATCTATTTCTGAGAAGTTTACTTTGCTAACTGGCAGAATTACCCTCAGGATTTCAAGAATACTTCCTTTATTTCCATGAAGAAAGGGGAGCTAATTAACAGCAAGTGAATTTAACTATAAGAGGATCATTCAGAGATTCTTATAGATTATATCTAGTCAGTACACACTATCTTATTTAAATTTCATTTTACATTCTTTAATAAAGTATTTTTATATTATTTTCAACAACATTTGAAACAACAGGATTTTCTAAATAGACTTGTCTTTAGCATACCCAGATGAAAAAAATATAATTCTACTTCATATCCCTTTGTGGGATAATGTGGGTTTTTTGTACTGGAAAAATGCTAGGAATATTAGAATATATGATCCGTTAGCCAACTCTGTTTTTTTGTTTGTTTGTTTTGTTTTGTTTTGCAATGCTAGGAATTGAACCCTAGTAGTAACTAGTAATTCTACTCATTCAGAAAAGTTAGCATGTCATTTTATTGAAGTAACCATACTGGATATAAAATAGATACACATGTGATACAATAGATTGCATGGTATATAAATTTGTATCTCAGTAAAGCTGTAATTAAAATAAAAGTATGGAAATGCAGGCAAAGGATAGGAATGGTATTTGTGTCTATTTTTCAGAAGTTTATTGTCATCCATTTAAAAAAAATCTTATAAAAGTGACTGCATTTGAACAAAAGGTATTGTTTAGTGTGCTTTCTCTGTATTCTTAGTGGTTCTTCAGTATTACTGTTTTATACACACCCTCTTAATTTCTTATTGTTGAGCCAATTCTGGATCTAAATGTAGTGGCAAGATATATTCAGGAGTCTGGTGCAGTAGTGCATGCCTGAAATCCCAGCTACTAAGACCCTTTCTCAAAACAACCAAAAAGTAGAGGGGGTGGGGAGCATGGATGTAGTTTAGCAGTCAAGTGCTTTCTTAAGCATGTGGAGGCCTTGGGTTCTATCTGCAGCACCGCAAAAACAAAACAAACAAAAGATGTATTCCAGAGATTTTGATTATTTCTGCTGGAGACATGCAGTCAAGACTAAATAATTTGAAATAGGAGTGGCACAAGAAGAGGAAGAGAAATTATCACTTTTTTTTTTTTCTTTTTTTGGTTAGAATTAGTTCACTTTGCATTCCTTGCCTATGCGCCTCTACCTGTGGAACCACATATGGTAAAAGTTTGTGTAAGAATTGTTTGTTGGCATATCCTAGAGTGCTCTCAGCCTTTTCAGCCACCGATCATTTTTAACATTGCCCATCTCTCTGGTTTGAAAAGTGTCTTCAGTCAGGGTTTCTCCTCATTCTCCGTTTCAGTACATTTTCCTGGTATTATAGGTAGAAATCATTCATCTTAAGCTTTTTCTTTTCCTTTATTAGTGTCAATTCAGACAGTACAATATTTTAGTAATTTATATTGTTAAGTATGTCTTTTGAATGTTTCTTTGAGCAATACATAACATATGACTTGCTAGTCTTAGTTTTGTTTTAGTATTAACTTGTATTTTTGTGTCTTATTTACTAGGTATGGCATTTCAAATATAGAAACAACAATTGAAGGCTCATCAGATGACATGACTGTTGTAGATGCAGCTTCATTAAGACGCCAGGTATTTAATGAACCAAACAAGATATAATCCAAAAGTTATAGTCATGTAAATTTTGTTGTGTGATTTTAACCTACCTTCACATTTTTTTTCACATTGCATGTAATATTTTAAAGTGATAGCTGATAACATTTTATCATTTTTCTGTTTTATGGAATCCATGAATTGAAGTATTTTATCTGTCAAATTATTTAATAAGCCATAATGATTTCCCATTTTTAATTAAAGACCCATTAAACCACTGTCTACATACTTTGGGATGTTTTTTGGTTTTGTTTTTGGTTTTGTTTTTTTTAGCAATAGGGGTTGAACCCAGTGGTGCTTAACCACTGAGCCACATCCCCAGCCCTTTTTGTATTTTTTGTAGAGGCAGGGTCTCACTGAGTTGCTTAGGGCCTCACTAAGTTGCTAAGGCTGGCTTTGAACTCTCCATCCTCCTGCCTCAACCTCCTGAGCCATTGAGATTACAGGTATACACCACCAAGCCCAGCTCATCTACATGTTTTTGACCAGCATAAAATACTATCATCAAAATGAATTTATTTAAGTCTGACTAATAAGAAAGAATCTTAAATATCAGCAAACCAGTATAAATTGCTTGTCTGACTTTTTTGACATGTAATAATCACTTTGGGGACCTTTGTTTCTATATTTGATATTCACTTTGGAAGCCACTACTTTCATGTGCACAGTGTCTATACATAATATTGTTTATATATTCTAATAAGTTATATCTTTAAAATATTTTTTATTCTTTTTAGTTACACATTACAGTATAATGTATTTTGACATACATATATGGAGTATAACTTCCCATTCTTGTGGTTGTACCTGATGTGGAGTTACACTGGTCATTTATTCATATATGAACATAGAAAAGTTATGTCCAATTCATTCTACTGTCTTTCCTATTACCGTCCTCCCTCCTGTCCCTTCATTCCTCTTTGTCTAATCCAAAGTACTTCTGTTCTTTCCTCCCTTCCCAAAGTACTTCTGTTCTCTGTCCCCCTCCCCCCATTGTGTGTAAGCATCTGCATATCAGAGAGAACATTCAGCCTTTGGTTTTTTAGGATTGGCTTATTATTGTTTGGGGGGATTGGCTTAGCATGATGATAGTCTCCAGTTCCATCCAATTACCAGAAAATACTATAATTTCATTCTTCTTTATGTCTGAGTAATATTTCATTGTGTATATATACACCACATTTTCTTTATTCATTCATCTGTTAAAGAGCACCTATATTGGTTTCATGGCTTAGCTATTGTGAATTGAGCTACTACAAACATTGACATGGCTACGTCACTATAGAATGCTGATTTTAAGTCCTTTGGGTATATGCTGAAGAGTGAGATAACTGGTCAAATGGTGGTTCCATTCCAAGTTTTCTGAGGGATCTCCATACTGCTTTCCAGATAGGTTACATCAATTTGCATTCCCACTGGCAATGTATGAGTGTACCTTTTTCCCCACATCCATGCTAACATTTATTATTACTTATATTCTTGATAATTGCCTTTCTAACTGGAGTGAGATGAAATCTCAGTGTAGTTTTAATTTGCATTTCTCTAATTGCTAGAGATACTGAACATTTTTTCATGTATTTGTTGGCTGATAGTATTTCTTCTGTGAATTGTCTGTTCTGTTCCTTTGCCCTTTATTGATTAGGTTATTTGTTTTTCTTGGTGTTAAGTTTTTTGAGTTCTTTATATATCGTGGAGATTAGTCCTCTGAGGTGCAGGTGGCAAATACTTTGTCCCATTTTGTAGGCTCTCTCTTCAGATTCTTGATTGTTTCTTTTACTGTGAAGAAGGTTTTTAGTTTAATAGCATCCCATGGAAAAAAAATAAAATATTTGGGAATTAATCTAACAAAAGAAGAAAAAGACCTCTACAATGAAAACTACAGAACACTAAAGAAAGAAATTGAAGAAGAACTTAGAAGATGAAAAGATCTCCCATGTTCTTGGATAGGCAGAATTAATATTGTCAAAATGGCCATACTACTAAAAGTGCTATACAGACTTAATGCAATTCCTGTTAAAATTCCAATGACATTCTTCATAGGAATAGAAAAAGCAATTATGAAATTCATTTGGAAAAATAAGAGGCCCAGAATAGCCAAAGCAATCCTCAGTGAAAAATGTGATGGAGGATGCATCACAATACCAAACCTTAAATTGTACTACAGAGCTATAGTACCAAAAGGCATGGTATTGGTACCAAAACAGACACAAAGACAGTGGTTCAGAATAGAAGACACAGACAAATCCACATAAATACTGTTATCTCATACTAGACAAAAGCACCATAAACATACTTTGAAGAAATGATAGCGTCTCAACCAATGGTCCTAGGATAACTGGAAATCCATAGGAAGCAAAATGAAATTAAACCCCTCTCTCTCACTCTGCACAAAAATCAACTCAAAGTGGATCAAGGACCTAGGCATTAGACCAGAGACCCTGCGCTACTAGAAGTAAAAGTAGGCCCAAATCTCCATCATGTCAGCTTGGAACCAAGTTCCACAAGACTCCTAAAGCACAAGAAGTAAATAAGTTGTATCTTGAAGTTGCAGTTGCATACACATATTTTTAGTATGTATTCCTATACCTTCTATAATCACACATATATGCACATGTAGAGAAGGCATATCTGGTGTTTTGATTATGTATACAAAGTAGATACAGAGAAAATAGGATAAAATAAAGTATTTTAAGTAAAGATCAATAAAGAAGCACTAGCTTCAGCAAGGCAGTTCAGCCCAGGGGTATTCATGGAAAGGACAAAGAGCCAAGGATGGTTCATTCAGCCAACAGCTTTTCTGGCAGCTGGGGAATCATTAGTCTTTCAGACTGAAGTGTCTAGGTGACATCTGGCCTACTACAATAGGTTAAAGTATTGGGCTTTCTCAGTAACTCAGAGAGAATGCAGATAATATCAACTTAAAAATGAACAATTAAGGCTGAGAAATAAGAAACTCATGGAAGAGGCCTAGAAAGGGGTAGGGGTCTATAGTCTTTCTGCCTTGGTAAGCCTGCCTCAGTGTATGTGTTGTCTTTTACTAGAATAGCTTAGTTGTGAAATACTGCCTTTAATCTAATCAGGTAAGGAAGGAAATATGCCCTCACTAACTCCGAAATTTGGAGAAGGGAAATAGATAAGAGTATTTAAGCAAATTTAAGCTGTCATGAATAACATTTTTTTCTATTTGTAGCTGTCTTTTTGCTCCAAATGAAACTTTCCATGTTTGTAATAACTCTTATATGATTACACTGCTTTCTAAGAATGGAATTGCTGTGTACATTAAAGCTTCTATATTGTATTTTATGTTTGTTTTTCACATAGATAATCAAACTAAATAGACGTCTACAACTTCTAGAAGAGGAGAACAAAGAGCGTGCTAAAAGAGAAATGGTCATGTATTCAATTACTGTAGCATTCTGGCTGCTTAATAGCTGGCTCTGGTTTCGCCGCTAGAGGTAACTTCAGCACTCAAATATATTGTTTCAACAGCTGGAAATATAAAAGATTTGCAAACTTCTTTGTTTCTGTGTTTGCATTGTATGCCGTTTTATAGTTCATGCTCTGAAATGTATTTCTTCCAGAAAGTAGGGTGAAAGGACCTATATTTGTAGAAGTAAAGGTATATTCTGTCACTCAGTTGTATTCACTTTAAATCAGTTCTGCAGCAACACTTACATAAAATTCTCCTTTTGCATGTTTTGTAAATAGGCTCCAGTTTGTGTTTTTAAAATGAAATTAATTTTTTGCCTCACCAGTCTAAACAACTAATTCTGTGAAAGGAAGACAGAATGCATAAAGGGTGGATTAAGAAAAGTATCTGTAGAAGAAAAACAATGTTTGTCCTGTTTCTCAGACACGGTTTTGTTGGTAGACATTTTTGCATTCATATTTTAACATTAACACTTGAAGTCATGGTCTGGTGCCAGATTTAAGAAAATCAAACCACCTAATATTTCATGATTACCTGTATAGATTAAATTAAAATATGCCTAACAGTTCAGCAGTTTAATATGTATGCATTATGTTGCGTTTTTATTTTCATTTTAGTTTTGCAGATGGTTTTCTATAAAATACGTTTTTACTAAGTCCATGTGTGAATGATTTAAAAACTACAGAATAAGGAACAATTGTAGTGTATTTAATAAACTGTCAACCAAAGCAATGTTTGTCTATTGAAAAATTTGTTTCATCATATTGGTTATGAGCTCAGTACGGAGTCATATTAACCTTATCTCAGTCTTTGTGTCTCAGGAGCATACGATGTACTTAATGACTTGGCAGGCAGCAAGTGCCTCCTGTGCTTCTCTTCAGATCTTTATCCTCCTAATTGTGGACATCATTTGTATTGAAGGTGGTTGTTTGTTTTTGTTGCTTGGGGTTTTGGGGGTGGTACTAGGGATTGAACCCAGGGGCACTCTACCATTGAGCTATATCCCTAGGCCTTCCTTCCTCACTCATCCCTCTTCCCCCTTTTTTTAAGACAAGCTCTCACTAGGTTGCCAAGGCTGGCCTGAAACTCACCATCTCCTGCCTCAGCCTCCCTTGTAGCTGGGATTGCAGGTGTACACCACCATATACAATTGCAGGTGGTTTTCTAGTCTATTCTACCTATGAAGTGATTCAGATTAAAATACCTATGAAGTGATTCAGATTAAAATACCTGTAACAGGAAAATCATGATTGAAGCTGGGGCCCCAAAAAACTACTCCCTCAGTGACACAAAAAATGAGAAATCTTATGCAAAAGTAGGCAATGAGAAATGTACCTTTCTTGACTTTGTCACATATCTAAAAGTAGAAGAGCTTGAATCTTGACTCTGAGGTTGAGCCCTGTGTTATTCTAAACTACTTCCCCAAAAAATGTTGTTAATCACTGTAAAAGAAAAAGAAATGTTCGGGATTAAGAAATGAATTCAATCCTGATCAAGATAATCAAGAAATACTTCTTAGATAGCTGAGCCTTGAGATAAGTGTATGTATGATTTCACCGAAGAAAAGGATGCCAAGTACAGGGAACAGAGGGAGAAAAGGATATAGTCAGGGCAAAAGTAAGAACAGCAAGTATATTTTTGTTACACTACTTTCAGAATGTAAAGTACCCCCCCACCCCCCCCCCCCCCCCCCCCCCCCCGCCCCCGCACACAACACTTCTGGGAATACTTGAGGCATTTGAAACTTGTTACAATTCAAGGAATAATTTTATGAAAGTGGTGTATTGTCCCACATGAATGTCTGTCAGTTTCTTAATATACTTTTTTGGCATTTAGGTTAAATTGTTTTTCTGGACCTTGGTTGTAGAACTGTTTATCTTATATTTTTTTAATTATAATCTATTTTCTCAATAAATAGACTTCTGTATGCACACACTAATCTTAAAAAGTAGCAGTTACAGAAGATATTCTTCATTCCTGCTCTTAAGGAATAAACATATTAATGGAGGTGGGGGAATAAAGCTTATTAAAGAATGAGATGATTATAGAAACAGTTTTACTAAAGAAGAAGATTTGAGATATGTGCTGAAGGATGAGTAGAGTTTTAGATGGTGATGTAGGGTGTTTTTTTTATATATATAAATTCCAATGTGAGATTGTATTTGGGGATGAGAATGTGGATTAAGAAACCTTGAGCTTTGCAAATGACTAGGTACATTGGGGGGATGGGTAGAAGGTACATGTACAGACACGAATTGGCATTTTTAGGTACCTGATCAGAGATGGCTTTACCCAAAAGAACTAACCACAGTTGGCTCATAGGCTTTAGATCTTTAATTCATGGCAGCAGTTTCCATAAGATGAAAGAGAGAAGGAATAACCTATCGGCTGTTTCAGTTGATCATGCTACTGCCAGCCAGCCATTCTTTTGCCCTCTGAAATGGGACACCTAAGTTTCTGTCTCTTCCTGACCCGAAGGAGAAGTGGAGTCATATCTCCCATGTCTAGGGTGATGAGAAAACTGTAAGCACCATCACTGCCCCTGTGTCATTCACTCCAGCACAATGAGGTATCATGCATTTTACCTCTTTTAATTTCATGGCTATTAGCAGTTTGACATTCATTCGATAAGCATTGAGTTTTCACTAAATATTGGGTGCTGAAGAAACATCAAAATCTTTATAATGGCCCTACTTTGTACCAGGCACTATGTTAGGTACTAATTATACCAAGAATGAATACAAGAAACCTGTTATTGCACCCAGGGAGCTTGTGGTATTATGCAGGACTGTGAAATCTAAAAAGCAATCACAAATGAAAATGCTGTTGCAGTTGTGATAAAAGCTATAAAAGAGTAAAAGGAAGCCTACTTTTCATTAGGTGTTTAGGGATGGCCTCACAGAGAAAGTATGACTTAAGACAGGTGAGTATGGAACAGAGTATGGGGGAGAGAAGCAGCCTTACCAAGGACCCAAAGTGGGAAAGGATTGATGAGTAATGGATAAAAAGACACGGTCTCTGTTTTCTTAAATTCTGTAATAGTGGATACACAAAAACATATGTCATATGTGTCGGGTATGATGATGACTTAGAGTGAGCACTAACTTAGATTATTGGAATTCTGCACACTGGGAAGACTTCCTCAATTAGGACACATTTGAACTAGGTCTTCAGGATACACAGGCATGTGTAGGAACAGATTGTCTTCATATGGTAAATGGGTTTAAAGAAAAGCCTTATAAGTTCTTAATATTACTAATTTATTTGGAAAGCTGTAATATAAATATTGTAAGTTATTTCTAGAAACTGGAGCCCAGTGAACATAAAAAAAATGGAGGAGTGATAGTATTCAGAAAATTGTAGTTTTAGCTTTGTCTTTTTTTTTTTTTAGCTTTGTCTCTTTAATAAATTTTAAATAGTAAATACATTAGTTAGTTCTCATATCTTTTAAAGAAAGACTGATTTTTTTTCTTGATAACAGGGCTATTCTCTGTTATTAGTGTCCCTGCAATCTGGGAATTAGATTTAAGGACTTAAATGAATGCAGGTTACATTTTTATATATATTATATACATATTCTTTTGTTTTTCTCTTAAGTATAAAAAAATACAATAAATAGGCTGCATACTACTTTAACTTCCAAGATCATTTCTGTTCTCTTCCATCCTCCCTCCAGAACTGCTCCTCCTTCTCCACACACACAAGAATATATAACTAGAAAATTGGAATAACACAGAAGAACAGAAAAATATAAAACAAATTGAAAGCTTCTTTCCACTTCTCCCTCAAAATCAACCAGCAATGATTTTGTCTTTCCATAAGAAGGTGTTAATGCATTTACAACATGCTTTTTATGTGAAAGGTTAGGGTTTTTTAATCACCTCAGAGATGACTTCAAAAACAACATTTTTACACTAAAATGACTTACACAGCTTTCTAAATAATGTTTCATTATTGAACTTCTAAAGGCATGTATTTTAAATATAATTCTCAAGTTATTCGGAGTATCGATACTTAATTTTATTACCATTAAACTACACAATTTGACTTCTTTGGCCAGAGACCCCACACAGACAGCCAAGAAAACCAATGACTATCTGGCTGAGCCCAAAAAGGAGCTCAAGAACTCCAACAAGAAATAGACTTAAAAATACTGAAAAGTGGAAAATCCTCTGTCTGTCTTCTTCAGAATTGGAGTTAGGTATTCTCCAATTACTGTGCATGTTGTTGATGGCAGAGTTTGGGAAACCAGTAGGAGGCACACAAGAATCATTGAAGAACCACTGCAGATTGAAGGATTTTGGATGAAAGTCACTGAAAAACAAAAGAGATAATAAATACTCTGCCCAGAAAAAATATATAGTAAAGAGAATATGCTTTTGAAATACTGTGTCCAGAAACCATGGCTTTCTAAATATAGATCCATTAACCCGAATAGTTATAAGACTTCTGTTCCTTATATATCCCATCATGCAAAAGCATTTTTATAGAACACATACTCTCAAGATGAACCACATGAAATTGCCATTTTTCTTTGTCAGAAATGGCAGAATACCAGCCATCCGCAGTCCTACATGCCTGAGTAATTCCAGCAATTAGGAGGCTGAAACTGGAGGATCTCAAGTTCAAAGCCAGCCTCAGCAGCTTATCAACACCCTAAGCAACTTAGCAAGACCCTGATTCAAAATTTAAAATAATAGTAATAAAAAGGAATAGGGGATGTAGCACATAAGTGCCCTTGGGTTCAATCCCCAGTGCCAAAAAAGAAAAAATGGCAGAACACTGTCACATGCTTTCACCTACTTATGCAGGCACTTCCACTTGCTGAAGATATGAAAACAAAAGAATTCAGGTCTTTGTGCAGAACTGCAATGTTACATCTCTCTTAAACCAGATGTATGGTTTTCACCCACCAGACATTTCAAATACATCTAATTTGTGCTTGTTCTAAAGGCTATGGAAAATGAGAAGTTTAACCCTGACACATGTATCTCAAGGCAATTTTCTTTAGTTCTTCCTGGAGTAAGACTGAGTGTTCTTAGGGAGTCCACATTTCTGTATTCCAACAACTAATTTTTCAGCTAGGA